CTCATATCAGGGTGGTTTAAGCAATAATGTATAGAATGTATTACTCTCAATTAATATTTTGGTTTGTACTCAAAGAAAAGGTTCATCCATTTGTACCACTGCCAAATGTTTGGGCACATGTAGATTACTATTCACCAGTACAGGTGATTAACTTCAAAGCTGAAATTTAAATAACCTGTACTGAACTCTGAAAAATCATGAAGCCTGAAAGAGGCCTGGAAGTTGGCCAAGAAGGTTTTGGCATTTTTTCCACTTCAGTTAATTTTTCATAAATCTTAATCATAATATTGAGAAGCCCAAAAACCCATTATTTTCATGTCAATGCTCAAATGACCTGGCCTAGTTATAGGTAAAAAAACCCAAATGCAAGCCATGAAGAATGCAAAGATTGTTCAAAGAGATAGAAAATCAGAATATAAATAAGCTACTTAGCATAGTTTATGCAAAATAGATGGTTCTTTGTTAATGAGATTACAAGTCTGTTTGATAACGTCAACCACAGCTTCAATACACCTAGAAGTTCTAAGGCACTTGAATCAATAGCACAAGATGTGCTCATTAAAAAGTAATCACTTTTCTATATGAATAGAGCACACAATGAATTAGGAATTGCTGCAGGGATCTTAAGTCATATCCACAGGGTAGCTACTGCAGTGCTTCTGGTGAGGCAGTGGTTCCACATCTGGCAGCAAAGCTGACTCCAAACTCAACCAGAAAATGGATCCAGTTTCACAATATTGTCATTAGCACCTTCCCTCAAAACCCAGAAACAGCTTCTGCAGCTTTTCAGCTGGATCAATAATTTGAAGCAATTTACACTATGAAGACACAAATACTTGTATTAGAAAAGTAACAAGGTAGAAAATTAGCAAAGTAGGAGAGGGGGAAAAAAAACATCAGGTAGAAGTTTGTATAAAGTCAGCATTTCTAAAAGGTGCAGATAATCAAAGGCTTGATGCTAAGCAGTAAGGAGAAGGAAGAATCAAGCAGCTAGGCTGTGTGATCTGGATAATTTGTTTGGTTTATCATGACACAAGCTATTATGACATTTTCAAACAAAAATTTTTCATCTAGAAAGAAATTTTAAAGAGGTTTCTAAAACTTGCCCTGGGCAACCACAATTCTGAAGAGGACTGAGACAGTGAGCAGGTGTGTAATCCAAGTGCCTCCAAATGCTCTAGGAATCAGGGTCTCACAAGCCCACCTAATTAGTGAAAAACTGATTAGCAAGTGGGAATAGAGACATGAATTTACCCCTAGGAATGTCTCAGGTTATGAGATTGCAACTGTCAGGATGCTCACATTTCAAAAGATACCTTTAAAAATTAGACAAAGAACAGAAAACCTGCAAAATAATTTCAAGGATGGGCAAACCCCCTGTATTTCCTGCTGTAAAGAATTAAGAGACCAGAATGGGTAGCTTAACAGGAAAGAGATTGAGGCATGACCCTGCAAGGCATAGATACTTTCACAGGAGAAAAATAACAGGTCTCCCAAAACTCCCTGATGCCCTGACGAAGGTGCAGGCAGAACAAGTGGCTGAAAGCAGAACCATGACAAGCTCTAAACCAGACGTGCAGCGGGTGTTCTACATCCTGAATAAGGCATGGAAATGGACAGATGATTCTCTGTCTCCTGATCTTTTCAAACAAAGGCTAAGTGCTTTTTGGGAAAACAAGCCTCAATCAATTTATTGGATTCTGCAAAGGACATGGAAGGAAATGAAATTGCCTGTAATAATAAAGATATCAAACTACCCGATCTAATAACCTTTATTGAATTTATGTTGGAAAGGAGAACAGACAATTTTGGTGTTCTATCAGAACATCCAGGATAAAGATAGATCTAAATGCTCATTTAGCATTTAAATTTAATAACCTTAATATACATTTCAGGAAACCTTGTGCCTTGATAGCCCCAGGAACTAAAGCTCTTTATCATCCAAAATGTGTTTTCTGAGCAGCATAAACTTACCAATTTACCAACAGCCTTACCCAGCTCACCAGCATCCATCCTGGGCTAGGGACACTTCTGGGAAAAGCCAGCCCTCTGGGACCAGTTCCAGCTCTTGCTCAGGGAGGAACAAGAATTTTGACCTACTGGTGTGTGCTGAAACGCTCTGTCTTTACTGAGCCAGGACTGAATTCCTGCTTCCTCTTTCTACCATAATGACAGAAATATTGATTTTTTTACAAAACGTTTCAGTCTTACAGCGAATTTTACAGTGTGTTCTCTAAGAAAGTGCAACCTCAGCTGTGCCAGATCATCTGCTGTGCGTGTTGGCAATTTGCATGTACAAAACATGTGCATCTTGGCTTTTGCCAAGGCTCTTGAGCACCTGCAATAACTAGGTTTTCTTTATTTATTGTGGTTCAGTCTTCACAGGCACATCTTACTCTTTCCCCTCAGCACCAATAGGTACTTCTTTGCCTTTTTATATTACCTACTAAAGCTATCTAGAAATTTTAAGATAATATTTTCCTTTGGAAACTGTGATTGAAACAAAATATTCAATAAGCATGTGTGAAAATATGTGCACACACGAGGATGAGCAGTAAAAGTAATTCCTTCCAACAAGGTAGGTGTGATGTTCATAATTTCTGGTATTGGTTGGCAAGTTTGGAAAATGGAAAGTCATTTGAAGTTTGAGTTAATTCATTCGTGTTCACATTTCTTGCATATAATCAAAATGACACAGCTGAAATAAGAGTTTTATTGGCTGTAAAATTAATGTTCCTTAAATTCCTTCTCACAGGAAATTAGGTTTCTGATTCAAGCCAAAAGAAAAACTTGGAAACAGCTGAAATCCCTGTTAATCATAAAGCAAACTTGGGGCAGGCCCACCCTGCAGTGCTGCAGGGGTAACAAGCAATCAGTTCTTTTGTGAAAGTCAATGACAAAAGCCCATGAATCCATCTATTTTCCCAAGCACACCCAAGCTCCACAGATCAGCCAGGAAACCATATGTTCCTGTGTTAGTAATCCACGCCTGGCCCACGTTTCCCAGTTTTCCTCTGGCCGCGGCAGACGACGCGCGGCGTTGCTGCTGCAATCACCGCTGCCTGCCCAGCAGCAGAGCTGCCCTTGGCTTCATACAAACCCTCCCAGCCAAACCAGGCAGGAAACCAACTGCCTTCATGGCAAAAATGCGTTTGACCTCGTTTCCACGGCATTTGTCCATTTGCATTACATGTCTGCCACACTGAGCAGACACGAGCCAAGTTTTATTCCTCATTGCTGGGACCAGAGTAGGCAGATGCTATTTCTCAAGGAGGTTGTGCAGATGTGGAGAGCTGAGAATTTTCTTATTCTTCCTCAGCAAAAATAAACCACTTCCAATCTATCAGGTGCCTGAAACTGTGAGAGGCAGGTGTGACAAGCAAGTCAAGCTACTTACTTCAACTCCCCTGACTCACATTTGACATAAAGGAATAGTAATCACAAGCGCACAAAATAACCCAATTTAAAAAAATATACATGAGTGTTTTGCCCTAGTCTGCAGGTATTTAGCACCCATAAATGTCATTAAGGTCCATAACAAGCATATCAGAGACGTATCCCCCGGCTCATTTTGTAATGACACAGTGCTCAGAATTCAGTCACAGACTTCACTCTGAAAAACTGAGCTCTCTGATTACTCATGATATTTTTATAAGAACATCAGTTAGAGAGGAATTTAAAAAATATGCCAGAAGAGTGTTTATCAAATACCACAATTGTTTTGCAAACCCGAGCAATAACAATCACAATAGTCTAAAAAAAAAGTATTAACTTTTCATGCACAAAGTCTAAGGAATTTATTGATCACAGGTGACAGGTATCTGTTCAAGGAAGGAATTACCTGGCAGCAGATGGGCCTATAATAATATTAATATCTTCACCATCTGGCTTTTAATCCATGCTTTTCATCAGTAGATCATAAAGCACTTTACGAATGAGGTCAAACATCTTGTAGGAAAAGTCAGAATAAGATATAACGAAGCTGAAGCTGAACAAGGATAAGCAAGAAATATGACACGCTCCATTTTCTCTTTTATCAATTACATCAGCAGGTAATTAACAAAACAAGGAATTCGCCTGTAAACATTACATTCTCCATCACTTGCTAAAAAGACAGGTCCTCAAATATCTTACAGTTCAGAAAAATTCAAATAGCTTTTAGGTGAGATTTTTTGCCTCTAGAAAACAATAGGTGAAGAAAAGGTGAACACAGAAGTACCTCTTTCCCCTGAAAGTCTTAAAATCTACTGCATTTTCCCTTGATTCTAGCCTACCCACTTACTGAATTACTGAAGCAAACCTTGTACAGTCTTTCTTGGACAGAACTGCTTACAATATGGTTGCAAATCTGAAGATGTAGAAGACTATAAAATAACTAATAATTAAAAAATTGATTAAGAAGATCAATGCATGCAAGGCATAGTTTTGCCATAGGCTGGTGACCAGGTGAACATTTAAAAGGTTCTTGAATTCTTTGGCATATCTGTGCCCCTAAAATCATACATTTTCAACCTTACTGAGAAAGAAACCTTCCTGAGTTTCACTGTTCCACAGCTGCTGTTTGGAAAGAATGCTATCGGCACCGTATCACCACAGCTTCTTAACTCAGTGGTTTGGTCTGAAAACTCTTCAGAGCCTGTGAGAATGTACAACCTGGTTGTAAATTCCATCCTGAGTGGAATGCTAACCCTGAGTGAGCATTTGAGGTCTACTGTAAAATTAATAATATATCTAGGAAGAAGGTGTTTATTATTCAGAATGGCCTGTACAGTGTTAGCAGATGACAGAACCCACACAGCTCAAAAGGCAGCAGCAGCCTCACATATTGAGCCCTGCCCAGCCCAACATCCAAAGGTTTCAAAGCCCTACATTACTTCAGCACACACTTTTAAACTTTGTTGTTGAGTAACTTTGTGGGTGAATTCCAGTACTACTGAGATCACAGACCTACACAAACAAACCAAAGTCCAAAAAGAGATAATGGCCTGAGCAAAGGTCAGAATGTCCATCAGGGAAAAAAGGAAGAAAGCAGGATAAATAAGGTCCAACCTTGGAGACCTTAAGGATCTGGCTTGGCACGTTTGCCAGAGAGGAAAATGAGCGTAGGTTACGTGTTGTCAGTGTTTGTGAGGGAGCTGCCTGGTTATGTGCTCTTTGCTTGGATCTTTATGCCCGTGGCTTTACTCCTGCTGCTCCTAATTGTCTACTTCAGGATCAAACTAAGAGAAGGTGAGTCAGGACTTGGGGACAAAGACGGGAGGGAGGCAAACCTTCTCATTCAACAGACGACTTAGGCTTGTACCATTAACTAAACTGAAGACAGCTATGATCAGAAACAATTTTATTAAGTTGTACTGTATTTTAGACCATTTTCTGTTTGAAAAAGACTACAGGTATTTGTTTAGAACTTGAATTGACCTCTCACTTAAAATGTCATAGTTTTATATACTATATTATTGGAGATTTTACTGTTTTACATTATAGAAAGGGCAACCAGAATGAAAAAAGGCAGTTAAAGCAACATTTTCACAGATCAGTTTCTTCTGTGCTTATACTGTGCAAGTCTTCAGTGAGACAGGTAGCAGAAGTTACACCCTATAAGTAATTGGGCTTTGAGTATGTGTCTATGATCTTTCAGAAGTATTTATTTGCTTTTATTTTGTACCTAAGTGCACATTTACCATGTTTCCTTTTCTATTTTAAAATCAGCTTAAACTCACTTCAAAAATCCATTTTCTGAGTAAAACAAAAACACCCACCCCAATGCAAATGTACAGCGATTGCAACACATCTGTGTACTGAGAATTAAGGCTGCTCACCTGGCCCAACTGAGCTACACTTGTAGCAGGCAGGGAGTTCCTTTTAGACAGGAACATCCTGTACCTCAGACCATCCAGTCTTGATGGGATGATCTTCATGCCCTCCAGATTTGGGTCCCAGCTGCAGCAGGAGGTTCCCACATGCTCTTGCTTTAGGGTTCCAGCTGCCAAAGCCAGCCTTGGGGCACATTGGCTTGAAGCCTGAAGCCTCAGCCATTCTTTCCTTCAGCTCTTTGAAAGCACACTCGCTAACACTGGGCTAAGCTTGTTCCTCAGATTATCTGTCTTTTGAGCATTTTCTCCATATGGAGTGTCAGGAGAGCTAAGGGGACAGCCGAGGTTTTCTCTGTAAACTGCAGATGCTTCTTGATGCAGCTTGGTAAAAACCCTGCCTGGGATGACATTTCACAACTCTCCCACTGCAGGTTTCAGCTCCAGCAGAGCAGGCTGGGGCACACAGGCCAGTCCTGTCCACAGGGCTCTGCAGATCAGCTGAAGCCTCGCACCGAGCTGGCCTGGGGTGCATCAGCCCAGCAGGAGGAGGATTTACCCACCAGTGCAAGGACAGGAAATAAATCTCTCTTAGATGCCAGGCCAAGCACTGTAATTTGGGCTCTCAGATTTTGCTCTATCCTGAAAATTTGGATGCTTAAGATAAGAAAGGTCATATGCAGCCAGAAATGTAAAATAAATAAACTTCGTCTTTTGTGTAACATCCCTGGGCATTTAGATCTGAGGCTTTAACAGAGGAAAGGTGTTTGTTTGCATATGAGCACACAGTTCAAGTTACCTTCAAGCTGCTAAAACTCAAACATTTCCTGGTCAAGATGTGCTTTCAGATGCTGAAATCATCTGCAAGGGCAGCCTGCTCCTCATGCCTAATCCAGACCTGCATTAGGTTATAGATTATTCTTAGAGTAAGGTGCTAATGGTTTTTCACACACTAATAAAACAACAACAAAAACAGTGCAATGCCAAAACATTGTGCAATTCAGTATCTGTGAGGAAATAAGGCAAAGTAATATGAGGTCTGTGCTCATATAATATAAAGTCAGACATTAGTAATTATAATACAGAGTGCTACTGAACTCCTTGTTAGCTGGTGCTGCTCTCACTTTTCTATTCCAGCTAGGATGAAGGTAAAAGCAGGTGGGCTACTGATCCCATCAGTTCAGGTATTTTGCTGGGGCTCAGACAATACTTTCATTAAGCCAGATTAACACATCTGAAAAAATCCCACAGACATTTGCATTCGTGATGCATGATCAACTGCTAAAACAGACTGTCCTGCCTCTTTTTCACAGCACTCATATCCTCCTTATGCACACTTTCTGCAGGTTTGTAAATAATCTACAGCACCAGATGTTAAATTCTGCTTCTCTTACAGCACAGAAAACTTAGCCTTGGATTTGTAATGAGTTTAAGCAAAGCAATGGTTTTGTAAATTTTCTGAGATTAGTAATCAAGGGTGTAAGAGAGGTGAATGAGGTAGTTGGCAGACTAATTTGCCAAAGGAATATTGCTGCTGCGCTTCTCTTTCAAAACCAAGGATGCTTGAAAGGAATCATCTGGCTTTTCAATGCCTCAGGAGAGAGTTTAGTTTGCAGATCACAGGTGTTCTGGCTGGGATTCTCAAGAGGATGCGAGATGAATTCCTGTCTATGTAATACTTCAGGCATTGCATACCCAACTCTGTCTCCAAGATCTTTTTCTTAAGCTGAGACTGTCAGAGACCAACCTACTGTTTTGGCCTCCAGCCAATTTACACAAAAGATCTGAGCAGCTCTCCCTGTACAAGCAAGTGGAGACGGCTTTAGCTTAAGACCATCAGGTGAGAGAAATAGATAAGCCTGAGAACAGAGTCCTTCAAATGCTGTCTCTTCTACAGCACAACAAAAATTCTGCAGGTTTCAGCTTCCCATTTCCCTAGATCTCTTTTATTAAAAAAAAAAAGGAAAAAAAGAAAAAAGGAGATAATTTTTTATTACTAAAATCAAGACTGCTTTGCTTTGTTGTTAAATAAGTATTTTTCTCTGTGTAGCAAGAAGCTCTGCATAAATATATCACTATATAAATACCTTATAAATAAAATGAAATCATCTAACACAAACAGCCCACATTTCTTCTGAACAACTAGCAATAACAAGTATTTAATGGGGTTTTAAGTTTGTTTTTTTTTCTGTTTCTCCATCCTTCTTCAAATAATCTCCAAGCCTCCAACAGCATGGTCTTGTTCTGAAGATGTCCAGTTATGTGCGCAGCAAGCATTTTTCTGCTTTGTCTGTAACACAGGCAGCATCAGGAGGATCAGGCCAGCTCACAGTTCTCACAGCACAGCCACAGTTCTGTAAAGCAGAACACGAATTGCCAGTATAAACTCAATATGCTCTTTGCTGTTGTTTAAAACTTTTATTCTGATTGAAAGCTGTGGAGGCAAATGAAAACAGAGCATTTCTGCTGATGTCAATAGTCCATGTTAGTGCTTCACTGGGCATAGTAACAGCCCCAGACTCACACTCGGAAGACAACTCTCTAGAATCATGGGCCAACTAGTAACAGCATGCTCTTTAGACACCTTCACCTTAGCAAGATTAGTTTTTATTAATATAAGCCAGCTCTTTTTCTTTATAAAAACTCACCATAAGAAATCAGCATATTCTAATTGAATTCTTGTGTTGTTTGGATTATTTTTCAGTTGAGGAGGAAATGGCCATGGCACAAGATTCTGGGAATGCCTTTCTGAATCACCGTGGCCAGTGGAAGAAACCCAGGAGATTCGGACAAAAAGAGAACAGATACAAGAACTCAAGGACATTTAAGGGAGCTTCTCGTCTCAGGAAGCAAGCTTAAACCCAGTACTTAGCCCTGAAGGTTTAACAATAAATGGCTGTAAATAAATACCACACAGGAAAACAAAGCCGGAGAGGAGAAGCCAGTGCTGTGCCGTCCTAAAGAAACAGCTGCCGCCATCCAGAGTTCTTGCAGCTCAGAGCTCCTGCAATGACCTGCGTTGGTTCCCTTGCCTGACCCAGGATTTGCTGGGAGGGACAGCACCCTGCTCACCAGCCCCTCCCTGGCCTACCAGGGAGAAAGGACACAACCAGCTCCTGAGAGAGCTGAGCTGGCGCATCCAAGGCAGGCAGCCTTATGAAATTGAGATGCATAAGTAACAAGTTGGTATCAAGCACTGACATCTTGGAATTTGAAAAGAGTTTTGAAGGGGAACTGACATTTATTAGCTTGTGCACTTTGGGAAAGATTGTGGGGTTTGTAAAGTTTCCTTTCCACAGAATTTGGAAGCAAAATGTAACAGTAGCGGGAAAAAAAAAAGGATTTCTCTCTGCTGACCAAAAATGCCAAATTTTGAAACCATGGAGAGATTTAGTCAGTATTCTGTAAGGCAGTTATTACTCTCCTTCAAGGACAAATGGATTACTCTTGCAAATAAAAAACTGCAGAAGCATGGAGTTATCTTTTTAGTGTGTCAATTGACACATTTAAAAAAAATCTTCCTGCCTGCTCCCTTGTAGCTGTAGATGTACAGTTTTTAGTGCATTTCAGATTGCCTGTGGCAGATGGCCCACAACAATGCAACTCAGGTTGTTTGCAAATACAACTGGCTTTTAGCTTCTCTGATTCTGCTCTCAAGGCAAGGAATGAGAAGTGACTATCACTACTGTCCTCAGTTTTAACTGTCCCTGCCCACTAATGATTGCAGTCTGCAATTACCTTTCATTAAAGCTGTTTGTCAGTACTCATCCTGCGAGAGTAGATAATGCCTTGTCTGAGATTATGTGTGGTTTGCACAGTTTCAGTTCTCATAGACTTCTAAGAACTCCTTAGAATCATTTTATAGAAATACTAATGAGGTCATGACCACAGGTTTAAAAAAAACAACATAATTTATCAAAGTTTGTGGAGAAAAAAACAATTTAAACAGCAAGCATCCTTACACTCTTTCCCATTTTAACACTACCCAAATTAAAAAAAGACAATTCATCACACTAATTTACATCTATGCAAATAACAGAATACATTGCACAGGTGAAGGGGCAATTGCTTGGAAATGGAAACATAATCTTTTACAAGAAAGTTGAGACAGCTGCTGCAAAGAATTTACTTTCTACATTTAAGAAGGATGCTGCCTTCTTAAAGCAGTGATCTGGGAGATTGATCAAGTGCTAAAGAAACTGTAACATACAAAATGTCAAAAACTCACTCTCTCACTGCCCAAGAAAAGATTGGACAAGACCACATGTAAAAAATACAGAATGAAAATTGATTTTTTAAATTTCACAATGTGTCTGAAAATGGGGAGATTTGAAATGTCAAGAAGTGGTAAAACTCTTAAACAGCACTTCATTGTAAACTAGTGGTACAGATAACAAAAATAATGCTGTATACATACACTCTGTGCCTTTGACAGAACTGCTTATTGAGCTGTAACTGCTAACATGTAGGAGGATCTGACATTCATGACTTAGTAACATGCAAGGGAAATTCTCATTTTGCCTTCTTGTTTTTAGTTCCATTACTGAACAGTGTCAAGAAATATGTTTTCATGGTACCAGCATGAAACACACCATAGTATCCCATTCAACTCCTTCAAAAAGCGAAAAGACATATTTAAATAACGCTGTAGAACAACACCTTTGTCTAGATAAATTATACAGGAGTTACCTAAATATATATGGAGAGCAGTTGCAAGCAAGCATTCTACACATGTATCTTCAATTACTGCTGTCAACTGAAGAGTCCTCTCTTCCTGTCTCTAGCAATAATGTGAAGTTAGACTCTACTCCACCTACATAATTTGAAACCTTCTTGCCTGTGACCACTTCCCCTTCGCTTCCCAGAACAGAATTTTTCAAGCCTCAACATTTAAGTTGGAAAGGTACTGAGAGAGATGGCAAAGCACTTTTGGCTGGGGAATGACTGAAGAGACTGATTGACAGGTGTCTATTCCAAAGTCTGCAGCGATGCTGTCCAAGGATGCTAGAGCAGGGACAGGTTCAAAGACATAACAAATGCTTTTGGCTCTTTTTTTCCTTAAGACACACAGAAGGGTTAAAATGCCTGCCAGAGGAAATTTTAAAAAGCGATTAGCTAAAAATCCAGAGGCAGAGAAATAAAGACTGATACACCAGTAATTATTCAAAAATTGCTCAAGGCTGGAAGACTATTTGGGAAAGTACTACTTTCTAATATAGTAATCATAGTTACACACACCCAAGGCAAATACCAGTAGCCTCAGAGACAGAGATCTGGGAGAGTTAGTCACTTAGACTGGCCCAGCAGAGACATTAATATAGACTTACCTCCAAAAACTCTGGTAGGACTTGCCTCAAACCAAACAGAATATTTTAACACTACAGGAATTATCACAGCATTTCCAATGCTTGTAATTTGTATTAATATTACTACTCTATCTTTTCAAGTGCAGTATGAAAGCCCCAAACAACTGAGCAGCCTGAAAATCAGAAGTTTCAGATCTTCCAGAGGTGTTGTCAGTATTTTATTCCATCTGTTTGATGTCTTCTGTGGCCCAATTAAAAGTTGCTATTCAGCTGGACTGTCAAATAGAAGAATACTTCAAGAAACACTTTGTACTATAGTTCCTCATTGCTTTGAACAATAAATCTTTTGTTTAAAGTTTTTCATTGGATTTGCATGCCTACCCTTTACAAAAGCTTTATCTGGGAAATAATCTGTGGAATGAGTCCAACATTTATTATGAACCCTGAGGTTATCATTATTAAAAAGGCAGATGTATTAAGTGTTTTTTTTGTAAGACCCACATGACTCACTTTTCTAAGTATTTAAGCAGAATTAATTACTGTAATTATATTTGAAATTGCCCATGTATTATAAAGCTGGTTTGTGAAGTGCCTTGAGAACAATTTTCTTTTTTTTGCATGTGTAGTTTTTGCTGTAGATATATTATATATAAAAAGGAAACAATGAGACTTCAGAATTGCACAATATTCCAAATAATTTGACTAATTACATACAACCTGCATCTTTAAACCTTGACTATTTGTATGACTGATCACACGTAGGGCTTATGTTTTTCTGCATGACAATGGCTGTTTAATTAGTACATATTTAATCAATGCAAGTGACAGCGATGCACAAGCTATGCTGACCTGAAAATACTATTAATTTTTCTGACAAAAGGTTCTATTAGTATTTGAAGAAAGACATATCTCAATGAAAGTAATATTGTTTCAAAATTATATATGCAGTTTTAAGGATTAAATACAAGTGCAATTAAACCAATGTTGATCTACTGTCTAACTAATCAGACCAATCTAAAATCAATGAATTCAAGCAACATGCTATCCACCAAACGAGATCTGCAACTAATACTACACCATATCAAAAATACCTTAAATATTTTTATATAGCTTTTTCTTACACTTTTGTAGGAAAAAATCCACTTAGACATCCTTCTAAATGCATGCATGTCCATTTTGACCTACAGTTACATATCCCAAACTTGCCACTTCTTTGACAACCTCCCTACTCCGACACTGGATGGGGTTCTCTTCCCCTTTTTGAAAAGCAGAATACCTCTGGTTTTGAAGGAAAGCAGGTAAGACTGTTATCTGCTAATTCTCCAGGTAATGTGGATGCAGTTGAGAATGCCTACATATGTATAGAAATTAACATCTCTGTTACTGTTGTCACATGTTATCCAAAATATGCAGAGCCAAAGCTAATGAGAACTTCTGTTACACAAGTGTGCTGACAGATGGCAGCCATCTAAACTGAGAATAGCACCAAAAATACATTGCTCAGAAGTGAATGAGAATGTAGTGAGAAGTTTTATGATTTGTTTTGCTATCTGAAAACCACAGTAGATTCCATCTCAATGAACACAGTGGAACCACTTGGGGACCAAGGGGCATTTCAACTTCCAGTGTGATGTTCAAATCTCCTCTTTTTTGGCAGCTGAAGATTTCTTCTCTAATCTACAGAAATCAGGAGTTTATTGGAAGATGTTTAAAAAACACTGGTACTTAAGTACCATGCAACTGTGCCACCCTTCTGGCACCCTTGCAGACTACTTGCAATAATCCGTTTTTTAAGGTTCTGTGACCTCTAGAATTGCAGTTCTCAGAAGTAATCTGCACACGTCAAATATCTTCCAAGCTTAAGTCTGAGTACCAAAAGTCATACAGAGAATAAACAACTTTATTTTATAACAGAATTACAGAAAGCAAAATATCACTTAATACAACTTCAAGCTACTATAAACCTAATTTGGCATTTTAACTATAAACAGAGTCAAAAACAAAAAAAAAAAAAAAAAAACCAAACAAAAACCAAAAAACCAAACAACCCTGCAGCAAGACCAAATGAAAAATAAACCCCAATATAATTAACAGGTTTTTGCCATGGCAGTCTCAACTGATGGTACTCTCGTACTACTTTACAAGTGGAGTTCATCTTACATCTTTTATTCAGTAGCCTAAAAACCTGCATTAACCATTAGAGGAAGCATGTGAAACATATACCTTCTCTGTAACAGAAATGTCAGTTCTAACATGGAGACACAGTGAGGTTTAATAGCAAGCGAGCATTCTACACATGTATCCAAATAGTGGAAGTATTGGAACTGGGACACAGTAAGAAAACAAAAAAGCACTACGGTTTTAAGCTGCCTAGATCATCTCTTGTTGGAAAAAGAGAAAGATATTTTGTTCTTCCTTCTTTCCTTATCTGGAATGCTGCAGACAGCAAAAAGTCTGCAAAAAGTTGAGCATTGGCACCAAAGTGCAAAAAGAACACAGTGCTCAGTCAGAAGAAATCTGTCTGCAACTCCTTCTCCTCTACAGACTGCCACACCATCTCTGCTCCGCAGAGAGGAGAACCTTGGAAAAGAAAGAGTTACAGAGATACCAGTATAAAATTTATCCAAAGAAATATATTTTTTCAAATTTTAGCAAATGTTTTATTTTTATAAAAAACTTCATTATGTGATATCATATATTTACCTGAATAATCTGAAAAAAATTCTGTAAATTACTCCAGTAAGAGATTTCACTTGAAATATCTGAAAAAAACTATATCTAAATTAGTAAAGATCCTCCTTCCTGCACAATTACCACCTGTTCCAGTGAACAATGATTTCCAGACTTCTTTTGTTCACTTTCATATAATTAAGAATCGGTTTCAAAAATACAAGTATTTGTGCGAAAGAAGATCATACCCTCTAGAAATTCATTTTAAAAAACCCGAAAACTCTAAGATTGTTAAGAAGTGGTTATAAAAAAACAAGATAGACTGTAAGGGAATATAGACCAAAGATGTTAAAATGGAGTTTGGTATTGGCATTGAAGTCGTGAACATCTGGTCATTGTTGCTAGGCCTGGTGGATTCAGCGGAGTCATGATGTCTTGGAATGACTACAGTTCTTCGTGGTCAGTGACATTTCTATTTCTGGAAGAAAAAATTATATGGAAGGTCACATAAGCATTTATAACAGATATCATGTCAATGTTACATCATAGTCAGAAAGTAACTATCTATGAAGGGTTCTTTGGTTTTTTAACAAGAAGGGAAGGTTTATTTAATTTTAAAAATGTTGCATTGACTAAAACCCCCTTCAGTCATTAGGCATACTGTACTACACTTTCTCAAAGTACTCATCTTGCTTTAGAGCATTTCTTCCCACCCCAAAATTCTCATTTTAATTGCAGCCACTTGTACAGTTTACTGAAAATTTTAATCGACAACCTAGAGCATAAATAAAAAAGGAAGGTACTTGTTCAATTCATCAATCCTTCAGAATTAGAATGCAGTATCTTTTACTTTTATTAGAGAAAACAAGTCTACACCAAGAATACTGCTGTAGTCATCAGAGCTTTCATTGCCTCAGAAACAACTATGCAAAATTCATTGCATGACTCCATTGACTTAGCATAGGAGAGCAAAAGGCTCTGGGCCGATACTCAAGGCAGTTGTGGCAGCTTTCTAAATTTTTTCCCTAAAGTTTAACTGAAAGGAATCATCAGTCAAACAAGTCTCCAGGTCTGACACAAAAGTAGCATGGAGAAATATCCTCTTTTATTCTCTCACAGGCATTGAAGACCGGGAACAAATTTTACAAATTGATGAAAGAACAGAATCAACTTTTCAGCATGTCACTAGTGTAGAGACATGGTGCAAACCTGCCAAGGTCATTTTTTCCTCCCGTGACCCAGGCCCCTCTAAAAAGATGTAATTACTTCTATGGGATAGATTGTGTTGAACACTGATTCTGGATTAAGGTAGCATGAAGAACCTGGCACATTCTACACACATGTAAGAGAAGAGGCAATCCCTGCTTCCAAGACCTTTAAATTCACACTGATTAATAATGAATTCAAAATGTGATGGTAGCACATAGAAGAGTAAAACCCTGCAAATCCAAACCATCTGTTCTGCTGTTTCAGTGCCTCTTTCTACCTTAGATCCTGTGATGGAAGTGCTGAAAATATGCAAGGGGTGGTTTGAGTGTTCATGTTTGATGTTGCTGTGTACCAAGGGACCAGTGAAATCACCCAGAGCATAGGCATTCTCCTTACTGCAAACAGCTCTCACAAAAGTGATGTGCATTTTTTCAAGCCTTCTAGAACATTTATGTGATGTGAGGACTAATCAACACCTCCCTGTCTCAGAATTCAGTACAGTTCCCTGTCCTCTCCTGTGCTTTTAAACCAAAACTGGAGTATACATGTTATACTCATTTTCAGTATCACTAAGCAACAAAGCCATGAAACAAACCCAACTGAATGCTGAAATAAAGGTACATGAAAAACCAGACATTTGCGTGATATTCCTTATTTTTGGTGCTTTTCCCCAACTGTCCCTCACAAGCAACCCAATATCCAGTGTTATTTTCAGTTTCTAGCATTATCTTATGTCAATTTTTAAAAGTATTAATACTAACATGAATATCCAGGTGAGTGCTCATCCAGCACTTCCAAACATGATCCATATTTTTTCCTGGTCTGTATATTTATCAACAAAAAAATATTAATTTCTTTTTCAAACAGAATAATCTGACCTAATCTGAAGAAATTTTCTGTAGACAGCCCAAACTCAGTTCTACTGTATTTTACATCCTGAAAAATTATGCAAATTAACATGCTGAGAAGTTCAGAGAAAAACTAGCCAGAAAATACTGTCTAAACACACATGACCATAACAAGCATTGTAGTTCTAATACAATCTGTACAAGGTCAGGAAGGGAATTGGAACCACTTTGACAGAGAAGATGGATAAACTTCCTGTCTGCAGGTAGAGGGCAGGCCATCCTACTCTCATACTCCCCATGGCACTCAACATTGCTGCTCTATGCATACAGTAGGAGTTCAGGACAAGCTCTCAGCAGGGTTATGTGTAGGCTATGAGACCAAATAATTCTGCCAGCAGATGTGAAAAACTCTTGCCCCAACAGCCCACCACAGGCAGTCTTTCAACTGACCATATCCATGTAAACATCTGGCAATGGATATTAGCTCTCCCCTTCCTAAGCCACACACTCTCATTATGATCCAGATGTTAAGAAAAAAGACACTTGTAGGCAGATTAAATAAACTAAGGCTTTAGTCTATGTCTTTCAGCTGAAAACATGCATCTGTGATCAGACTAGCTCAGGAGGAGTCCAATTCCTTGATAATGGTCATGCTCCATGGAGCAGTATTCAATAGATGTATTTCATAACCTCTCAACTGATACTTGAATCTTTGCTCTTCTGAATCCCAGAAGTGATACTTCAACAGTTATATCTTCATCTTTTAGGAAATTCAGGCACAGCAATAAAATAGATCATTTTAACACGACAGACTATCAGGATTATGTGAAAAACACCTTCCCCTCTAGTAGCTTACACCAAATTTGGAATCAAGTCAGTATCTCATTTTTCATATATTCCTGGCATTTCATGGCTGTGCTCAAGTTTGCTAAAGCTGCAGACTGAAATTTATAATGGCTAGTTTCCTTGGGTAAATAATTTTGCTCAATACTAAGGGAATGCCTGCCTGCACAGGACATAGAAGTCTCTTGTCCCTGGGCCACAACCACCCTTGTATAAAATACTGAACTGGGGAAATAAGAATCATGACTACTCTCATTTCTTTAAAACATATAAAATGAATTGCTTTTACCTTGTCTCCCCCTTCATCAACATTGATCAAAGTGCATATTAAAAGCTCAAAGTTGTACTAAACCAATTTTCCTTCTTGAGATGTAACATAATAACACTGCTGCCCTTCCAGCTAAATACAGAGGCTAGTCAGTAAAAAAAATCAGAAGCCTAATGAAAGCTTAAACCCCTGGTTTTTACATTTCTTTATAAAACTCTCCCATTGAGATAACCATTTAACCAATAACAAAACCATCAATTTTGAAAAAACCTGAAGCTCAAGTCTCATACTAACAATGTGACAAGTACTGGGAATCTGAAAATTTACACACCCAAATGGTTACAGAGCTTTAAGATATCAGCTTATAATAAGTGCAAGAGCAGATTTATTCAGTGTTCAACCTGCTTTTTATATTGAATACATGAGGGTGAACCATGTTTTTTTCCTTTTTTTTTCTCAACCTAGAAAGGAGGGCCTACTAAACTAATATGACTTCAAATAGCTGATAAAAGGCTTTAAAACTTGAGCTTTTACATTGACATTCTTGTCTGGGAAAATGATAAAATGCCAAAAATCTCAGTGTGTTTAGGATTAAGGATTAGCTGACTAAACTGAAACGTCCAAGTGTGTCCTCTCATTACTGAAAACTACACAGTCTTCCCACTAAACAAGGAAGATGTTATAAGAACTATAATTGTTCAGGTAAACAGAAAAGTGTGACACATCCTTCATATGTTGCAGAAATAGCCCAAATCCACTTCAATATAAACTATAACAATTTGCCCAAACATTGTAGAAAATGCTGTGAGAGTATTGTGACAAAACTGGGAGACATATATAGGAACATCTGCAACAGAAATTAATGTCAGATTAGACCTAAGATAAAAAAATCTTATACTAGTAGTCTTCTATTAGCACCTGTTTCAATTCACCCTTCTGGGAATCCCTATCTTAAAGACACCCCAGATTTTTCAGCTAAAAAGACATGAATGCAACAGAAAACAGATACCACATTTTCCTGTGTTAATTATCTACATAAGCTTACCTGAAGTATTTGCTTGAGGGCATTTTTGATTTTAGTCTTCATCTTCCTCAGCAAGTTCAGTTTCTTTGTGCACCACCACTCTTGTCACAGACATGTCAGGGTGCTGTTCTTTGGCTTCTTTGATTGCCTGTGCTAGGGCCTGCAAATGTATTGGAAATACAGAACTTAACAAAATCAAGCGGACATTCATGTGGGGCCAGAGAACAGGAGAGTACCTTTGGAAAATGTGGTTATAATTTTTCAGAACTGCAAATTTCTGAACCTGAGATCAAAAGTAAAGAAGCCAACTAACCTCCAAACCAAATCAATTCCAAAAACCCAAAAGAAAGAAAAAGACCCCAAACTGCCTCCCCACCCCCGTGTTAAAAATTTACCAAGATTTCCAGGAAGTCACAAAGTAACCATGAAATTTTTAAAATAACTTTCTAGCTCATCTTATGTTAAAAAAAAAAAAAAAGTATTTCTATATCCCAGAACTTTGTGAACTTCTGCAAAAGATCTAACAAATACACCATAACAAGAGTTTAAGATAGTACAGAAAATGAAGAGTGCCCTTCAAGTTTCCTGCACAAAACAGAAAGATACTTTGGAATGTATACTGTGTGTGGTACTGAAACTCTGGAATAATATAATAACAAATTTCTTGGCACAAGAATCCCATTTTTCTCCTTGTATTAGCTTAAGAGAAATTTCTCTAGCTTAATTCAGGGAAGTGTAAATGCAAGTATCATTCAGATGCTAATAATCCCTCCCCATTTTAAGAAATTTTATCATTTAAGAGATGTACAGATATACCCAGTTGGATCAGATGACCATCATAAGTCCCTTCCAACTGAAATGTAATATTTTATTCTACATCATAGTCAACCACATAAGAGCACACTCTGAATCATCACAGGTGAAATAGCACCTGGGCCCTTCTCTTTCTTGCTGACACCTTAGTGCACATCTTTTTTCAGTGAGCTGTATTACTTCTGGAACCTAATACAAGAAAAAACCTGAAGACATGGGAAGGTATTCAGAAGCAAAAGTCGACCTGTTCTCCTTAGTACCAAATGCAACTAACCCCCCGCAAAATACTAGAAGGAGTAAGAAAAATATAATGCAACAAAAAAGTTTATCATAATTTAGAAAAGTGACTATTTCCTGAGCTAGCTACAGGTATTAAGTGAGAGAAGATATAACTAACTCTGAAGAAAGATAGAAAACATCAGCATTAGGCACCTTAATTATTATGTGACACTGTATTTGAAATCCTATTAAGGGAATGATGTGCATTGGTACAATACTGATGTTTGTTGTTTATGAGCAATGAAACCATAAACAACGAAAAAACCCTAAGACTCTATCTGGTAAATTACAAGTAATACAAATATTTGTCTTCTGAAACAAGACACTAAAATATTGTTTTCCTATTGAAAACTGTTTTAGTAATATAGAGAGCTAATAGAAAAAAAACATCTAGCATGTAGTTTGGGCATTTAAGAAGATTCATATTCACTTAGAAAATGTGGTAGATATTTCTTAAATCTCTTAAAAGCTGCTCACTGCTGTTTTAAACTTCAGTGATTAAAATTCCATTTTGTACTTCTTTTTTATAATTTCAGTTTTTGCTTCATTAGTCAGTTATCACAAGTTAAACAAGGGCTTTGAGAATTGTCTGGTGTATTAAAGCTATTTTGTGACCTTTCCAGACATTTGAAGTGCACTCCATGTGTGTCAAGGCAAACAAGAGCCATCCATGCCTGATGCTAAGCAGCTGTGTCATCTGATTATGAGTTTCAAGAACAGATTCAACTTGTCAAAGACACTTCCTAGACACAAATCAAAATGTGAAAATAAACTCTTTGAAAACTCTCAATATATTACAATTCATAAGTTAAACTAACCCTGTTATGCTGATTTGTGAAGCCTTCATGAAGTTAAAAATGTATTCACTGCAAGGTAGGCTTTTCTATTTGTATTAACTAACGACTGTTGATTGCCTTTGTTACTAGTTTCTTAGATGAAAAAAACCCCTGTGTAATCATCACTACAAAGACCAGATAATGACTTTTCTCAATTATTTTCCTGTGTAGTGCTCAAATTCAGCCTTATTAATTTGGAACATAGAAGTGATTTTAACCTTAGTTACTAAGTAATTGTAAAATACTACTTTGTACTGATGGAGATAAAAGGTATGTACAATTACAGCAGATCAACAATTACTTTTGTTAGACATAATTCTACAGATACTGGCCAAAACCTAATTTTTAAATTCAAGAAGTTAATGTTCTAATGTATTTCAAAGCTTTCAATCAAAATGAGTGCTGCATTCAGATGCTGCTAAAACAATACAGAAAAGACTCCTATCTATCCAGATCAGTGTATCAAAGTAAGATTATTTCAGTAATGTTTTTCCTCCCAGTACAAAAGCTGCACTAAATAAACTGGGTCTTCTCCAAAAAGAGTAATCCCTCTAAAAATAGCAGAAATCCATTCACATGATCTATGATGCAAATTTGCAAATGCTGTTTTTCTTTCACATATATTCAAAAGGCTTCTTAATAGCAAAACACAACTGTTTAAAAACTATGACACAATTAACAGTCTCAGGGAGTTTCTATATAGTTTTATTCAATTTTTCTACCTTTCTCTTACTTCATATTTCTGAAACACCATCTAGATCTCACCAGAGACTACAAAATCCACATTTTAAATGTTAAATTTGCATACTCACCTCATCATGGTCAATATCTGCATCTCCAGTAATGACAATGCGTTTCTCAATTCTTGTTTCTGATACTCCACCTTTTACCATCTACAGAAGTCAGAAAAATTAAAAAAAAAAAAAACAGAAAAATATCCCTGTGATTATTCCATATTTCTACAAAGCACAACCTTCTGTTGCACTGAAGCAAATAGATTTTTGTGTCTGAGTTGCAATTAGTAGTAAATGCATTCAGCATTAATCATTCTCTCCCTTTTCAGCTATACAGTTGGTCACTCTCTAGCAATTGCTAAACTTGATAAAAATCAAGCAATAGAGAATTACTCCTGTTACTAGATCCCATGTCTGGCAAACTGTAATTCCAGCTTCTTCTGCCATATTAATCTGGCACCATAGAAATTCCAATAGTATTTGCTTTTATTCCAACCCATCTATCAGGGGCCCCTCCATAGTCATAATCCTGTGCCATTAAATACAAATATGATCTGATTTTCAGTTCTGCCATTCAAGGATCTTCATCAGATATTTCCAACATATTTTACACTGCTGAACAGTTTTGTGCTTTTCTTCATTTCTTATTCAAATGATTAAAACACTTCAGCTTATAAAAAAATTCTCACAGAAATAACATTATTTGCCTTTTAAATCAGCCTGTGTATGAGAAAAGAATAAACTACTAAAGATACCCTGACCAGGGAAGAGCCAAGATGACTCCATTAATAACACCATTAGAATATTAAAACTATTTTGGGAGGTCCCTTTATCAGTAATGAACAATTTGCAATGCAACATAAAAAGTCAGCTTAGAAAATTCAAACAATCTTGTTACTGACTGTTTATCATAAATTCAAAAAACATAAGGATCTGCTGCATCATGGTAATTCCAGTAATTTTTCAGTAGAAGACAAGACTGAGACCATTTTCTTCAATTGTTCCTTCCAAGAAGCAAGACTATTTGACATCTGAATTTGACAAGAAAATGTACACTTCCTGTCAAAACTGTGGTTCAATTCATTGAATAAAGATTTTTTATTTTTTAAATGGTGGTGGCTTAATGGTTCCAAAAAGGAGAAGGAGTCTGAAAAGGATCTATTGACTAGTCTTTATAATCAATGGATTTTTAACATATGCATTTTTAATTCTGAGCTTACTTTATTTCATGTGACTCACTTTCCAACATTATTCTTCCACTATCATTTTGTGCATATGACTTTCAATCTTCAATCTTTAGAAAATATATCCAGTGAGCAGTGAATTATTATTCAATTGTGTCATGTTGTAAAACTTCTGTATCTTGGTGGGGGAAGAATCCTGAATTCACACTTTGCTTCCCTCTTCCATTTTTCTTTATCCTAAACAATGTTTTCTGTAATTTTCTTAGAAAAAGTGCTAAGGGTTCAAAGGCATGTGTTGTTTAGGCATGCCTAAAATTTGACAAATGTTTACATAAATTAGCAATAACAATCATCACACTATGGTAGGTTTCATGTTTTTAATGAAACAGATGTGATGTCCTGCTAACACTGAGTTTTCCTTTCCTTTTCAAGCATGGAATGAAAAGGAAATAATTCAGTACCCAAGCACACTTGCAAAGTAATCTAAAAGAATGATCTGTTTTTTAAATGCAGCCTAAACCTGAAGCACAAGGATGATGAACGCAAAGTCTGGGAAACATTGTTTCAGTTCATCATGCAGGGCTCCTGTGCACCTGAGAAAAGTTAGTTACACTAGCAAAGATTCTGTAGGATATCAGAATCTCAGAATATAATGAAAATGTCTCAGAATGTCATCAGTGAGTGACAACAGGACTGAACCTGCAAAAATTTAGTTACATATTAATTTGTCAAATACTGAAATAAGACCTATATGAACTACTGAGAGACCAGTAATCATATTTTTCCCCCTTTCCATGTCCTATTCCCAGATATTCCTGCTTATTAGGACTTCGGTCTTCAAAATCTGTACAGAATGATATAATTCTCACACATGCCTGGAATTAATCCCTTCCATTTCAAGTTAGTTTTCCTCTATGAATAAGCAGATGTACAAGAAACTTCATGTAAAATTGTGTTTTGAGGGTCCAGTGTCTTTTTAATTAAGAAAGACATGAAATATAATTTACCTTTGTGATGTGTGTAGTTGTGGTTGTAGAAATGGACTCTGATGTAATTGTCTGTGCACTCACCAGCACACCAGTATCACCAACAGCATTGCCATCAAGCTATTAAAAAAACATATATATATATTATTGTATATTGGCATTTAAAAAAACTTTGTTTTCACAGGAGAAAAGGCTAGTTTTCTTACTAAACACATTCTTTAATTCAGCTAGAACTGATCTAAATAGAAACCAGCCAAGTTTACAGAGTCAGGTAAGGCTATTATTATGGCCCATTCCTGTGGAGAATTCATACTCACCGTTATGCATTCCTTTCAGGAGAAATGAGATATTTTAATCAAGTTTCCAAAACAGGATTAAAGTGAGTTATACTTTTGCAGTCGGCAACTAAGTCTTTATATAGCAAAAGGAAATTAAAACTTCTTAAGTAATATGGTTTTGTAACATTTCACTTATCTAATTCATAGTTAAAGTATAATCTTATCTGCTAGGAAAAAAAGTATATGCTTTTGAAAAGCATTTTTTGATATTATCCATGTTGATCTACATAACTGCAATAAAAATAAGATTGCAAACGAACCAGTCACCATACCTGTGAAGATTCATATGTGATAGTTTTAGTTTCTGTTTGAACAATTGGAATTTCTTTAGTTGAGATTTCAGTTCTCTGTGTGGCATCTGAAATGGTTACCATCTCTGTTTTCACTACTGGAGGCTGTGATGCAAGAAATAAACAATCAATTCAAAAGACAGAAGAAGTTCTGTGAAGTGGACCACGATAACACAACCAAAAGCTCAAGAAAAGCATAACAGTAAGATAAGTATTTGACTGACTTCCCATACAAAAAGCATGCAATAAATAAGCAAAATGAAATGAAGATTACTACATCAGCCCTCTAGAATATCCATAACATTGTAGGAAACTGTAATCTAATAACCTTGTCAAAGTTCAGTGTTTCAGCCAACAGTACATACCAAAGAGCATTGCTAAAACAAAGCTGCAACACATGTACTGAAAATGTGTAAAAGCATCACTATGAAAAAAATAAAAATCTTAGTTTGCAGAAAGAAATTAACGGCTAGGTCAGACAGATAAACTTTGTATTAGAACTAATTCAGGAAAATACCTATCACTTGTCAAATCTGCAAATCAGGACTAAAAATTCCATAAACATGTAACTTTTTAATATGCATTACTTCTGAACAATAAAAGCTTTTGCAAACCAGATTTTAAGCAGTCTAAATTTTTCTCGAAGTCAATGACTTCTGTTGACAAAAATTCTAAAAGGCTACTTCAACAATTTAGAGTAAACTATTGGTGTTCTCTGCAATATCGCAAATAAAGCAATTAACCTGGGGTCTGTAAGCTAGTGAACTCATTACTTATCTTATTGGAGCAGATTTTCATTAGATTTAAGAACTAAAGCCTTTTGATATTTTTCTAGATGCATCAGCTTATATCTTATGTTGATTTTGAATACACATAGGGTAAAAATCCCTGGAAAAAATCCCAAACACCCTTTCATGCTTGCACACACAGCAGTCCTTCATCCCCTTCTTCCAAACTATCTATGCTTTTAGGATGTGTGGGAACTTGCAAATTTTAAAAGTCTAATAAACTAATTCTTTCACATCACTAATCAGAACAGCTGTGCATGCAAAAGACAGCAAAAGAAAAAATGTGAGTTGTTTTGATTAAAAAGTGCAGAAAAAAAAAATTGCCACCATTACAAGAACAAGCAGGTAGAGAACTACAAAAAACTCACCAAACTGGTGAAAAACTTAGCAGAAGATCATGACAAATTTACAAAGACATACATGCCTGCCTTTCATTTTTTCCCTTTCTACTTTATCATTTGCCCAGTAATCAACTCTTCAACCTTGTTTGGCTTAAAACAACTGGTTGTGATAGGAACTCATGCATGCTTCCTAAGTATCTACTGCACTAGAAGACTTCACAGAAACATTGTGATAAGAGCCTCACCACTTAACAGTGCAGTGCTCTCACCTCTGCATTTTCTAGCCATACATATTCTAACCTGCAAATCCATAATGTTTTATTGAACGGAAGGGAAAAAAGGGAAGAAAAGCACTGAGTGAGTACAAGGAAAAAAGGAACAAAAATTTGTGACAGATGCCTTCTAATTCCAATTTGCACTAGTTTTCCAATCACGATTACATGTCATGGACTTGTCAAAAACAGTTGACAAATAAACAAGACAAGACTAAAACACTGGGAACATGCAAATAATAAATACACATTATGTATGTGCATATAAAATACGGAGGAGATTAAAAAAAAGAGAGAGATCTCAGTCTTCGGAAGGTTTGCCTTTACTGGTGATTTTCACTCAGTTCTAGCAAAAAGTCAGAAACCATAACTGAGGGAGACAGAATTTCACTGCTCATCAATGGTTTCCCCTTCCAAATGATCTGAATCTTGTTGGATGCCAGAAGACGTGGAGGAATAGGAGAAGAAGAAAGGCAGGTATATTTTCACCCCAAGAAATACCTCTGCTTAATCTAGTTGTCATACTGTTCTACCATTTACCTCAGAACAACAAATTAATTGTGGTGCAACATCAATGTCAACATGAGACACATCTCCATTGAGTTTCAGCTGTTCCTCCTCTTTTTCTTCACCTACATCTTGCTTAATTTGCTCTGACAAATTCTTCTCTTCTGTAGCTACAGTAATTGTATTTTCGTGGACCAAATCTTCAACTGTAACTTGTGTGTGCTCAACTGGTACTGGTTTACTGCCTTCTGGTATGGCTTCCACATGCTGCGTATTTTCTTCATGTTCTTTCCTTTTCATGTCTTCCTCGTCTTCCTGTTCTTCCCTGATGACTTCCTCAATTGCCCTATGATGTGGATGGTATTCTCCCACCTCTTCATCCTCACTCTCACTACTACTGCTGCTGCTGCTACTATCTGATGGCAATGATGAAGAGTCCTTTTTTGACACGTGCTCCACCTTACATGTCTCGCCAGCATCAGTGGCAACTTGCATTTTCCCTTTGTTGGTTTCGTCTACGACTAGTGTTTCTTCTATCCCAAACTCTGCCTGCTTCTTCTCCTCCACTATGTCCAGAGTCTCATGTGAACTCTGCACAAAAAACATGGATGAGGATAAACAAAAGAAGAGTATATGAATAAATTAAAATGATGAAAATAAAATTAGCTGGTTCATGTCATATGGAAGACAAAAGATGTTTGTGATGGTTAACTGAAAAAAGAAGGAAGGAAAGAATGAAGATGGATTGGAAGAGTTAGAGCCAAATTTAGTCATGGAAAAAAATCTGCAGAACCTTATCAGCATCGCTGACTCCAGTACAAGGACCTTCTGCTCTGGAAGCATGTCTCTGTGAAACAAAAAGCAATCAGAGGACACAAATCAATGCATAACCCTTTTCAACAGTGCAACATCCTCCAAGCAAGCTTTTAAGAATGTATACACATGAGACTAGAGAAATGCTACATATTCTCTGCAAGATACTAGTTGCCTTACACTTAATCTAAATATTCAATCAAAAGTAGGTGTAAGAATGGTGTAAGAATTGAATCTGAAAATGAAAAATAAATAAAAATTTTTAAAAAATTAAAAAAATAAAATAACTGCCTTGGTAGCCAGTGATGCTACCGAGGCAGTAATTTCTCTCAGTTAAATCAGGAATTATTAGACAACAGTAAAGAGAAAAACTAATGCTTTACTACCAGTTTGCCATAATTTAAAAAACAGTAAGAAAGGCATTATTGCATGGTTTTATTAGTTGTTTGTCATTGGTCTTTTATTTTATGCAACTTAATAGATAATGAGAGGAAGACTGCTTAGGGTAGTATGCTGTCAGAATAGCAATACAGGATTACAAAAGAAGGTCCTATAAGAATTTAGTTTGGAGCCAAAAGAATTATATTAAAGCAGCTTTACTAGGATTTGTTCCATAACAAAATAATGTTGGCTATCTGAAAGCCTGCAGTAAATGACGTATTAGGGTGTCAGGTTTTTTTTAATCGAACACTTAGCAAACAGTCTGCAGCAAAATTAATAGCCCAAATGAAAAGAATTCAAAAACCAACACACCATCTGTGACTTAATTCTACCTTTTATTGCTGTTTACCTAGCGCAGCATCTATGCAGCCTAAGTTTAGCCAAGCACTGATTCCTCCCTGCTTCTGGCGTGCTGCAGATGCAGAGTTAAGCTCTGGGGCAGGCCGGGACGGGCGGGAGCAGCCCGGTCCCGGTCCCTATCCCTGTGCCCGTCCCGGCGGGATCCGTCCCGTCCCCGGCGGGCCGCGGCCCCGCGCCCGAGCAGCACCTGGGGCCCCGGCGCGGCGGCGCCCGTCTGCTCCCCCGCAGCGCCCTCTGCTGGCCCCGGGCTGGCGGCGGCGAAGGGCCCGCTGGTGCCGGCGCCGAAGCGCTCCTTACTAAACAAAATGGACGCAATCTCCTCTTCCAGGCTCTAGACGGTCAGAGAAGGGAAAGGAAAGAATTAGACAGCGGCGGGCGGAGCGGCAGCCACCTACAGTGGGAGAGGTTCGGCGAGAGAGAGACGTGACAAAGGCACCGGCTCGGCAGGAGCGGGGGTCACGGACAGGAGGACACCGCGCGAACGAACACACCGACACTTACTTACACACCGACACTGACACTTACACACCGACACTGACACTTACACACCGACACTGACACTTACACACCGACACCGACACGGACTTCCCAAACAGCACAGTTTACCTAGCTGGTAACTCCGTATTTACTGCCTGGGATTTTTTTCGCTTTTAAAATCCATTTTTGACACCTTCTACAGCCCAGCTGGATCAGAGCTCTAGGGCTGTTGGGGATATTTGCTTAGGATATATACCCACAGTGCTGAAATGTTTAAATATTTCTTATTTCTTTATAATAAATGCTATTTTTTTAATACTTAAATATCCTAAGCAAATTCATGTTGATTAAAAATCTGTTTTCAAGAAGTCCCATTTCAGCGGGAAAACTTGTATTTTTCAAACATACATGAAAGATGACACATTGCTTTAAGGCATATGTTCATAATCTGGTCTATTTTCTGCAGGGCTATAAATCTGTATGGTTAAGCAAACTTTGAAAGTTCAAGTGGGTACAAGCCTCTGAAAAGGCTACAGTTCTTTATTCCAGATTTCACTCCACAAGCTCTGGTAAGAAGTTAGAAGTAAAAGTGGTTAAAATAAAAAGCCAATAACATACAAATACATAACACGGACATAAGACACATGTTGACAACATTTCATGAGATACATTTCAGCCTTCCCGAAGGGCACTACAGAGAATGATGCCAGAAGCAGAAAGCCGAGGTGCCATGCACACAACTGCAGCCCTGGGGACTCACCGTGGGAGCGGTGATGGGAGTGTGAACTGACAGAGGTTACACCATGCTACTGTAGGGACACTACGACACGTATGGCATGCAGAAGAACAGAGAAGGAAAAAGAAAAAGAACCCCTAACTCGTTTTTTTCTTTTCCTACACTAAAATCCAAAGTTTATTTCAATGGTGGCTAAGAAGAGTTAACAGGAATGCAAGTTTTTAAATCTGCCTTCATGCAACATCGAATCTCCAATTGGGCAATGTGTTCCTTACCCCTACTTTCTTTCCCTAGATTACTCCACCCAAGAAACATTCCTCTATTAACAGATTACATCAAAAGGCAATGTGTTCCTTACCCCTACTTTCTTTCCCTAGATTACTCCACCCAAGAAACATTCCTCTATTAACAGATTACATCAAAAGGCAAAAACTTTCATGATCCTCTTTTCATTGTACTCTGGTAACTTGTTTTCTGACCGCTCAAAAAAAAAAAAAAAAAAAAAAAAAAATGAAGGGGAAATGCAAAATCTTTATGTGGTAGGCTGTCTGTGTGCATCTCTCTCTACCACTGCTCCCCCTTATATATGTAATTAAAGGCAGGCATATAACACCCATCTTTTAGCACTTTCCCACCTTCAAAATTTTGAGTCTTCCAGTCTTTTAAAATTAAAACCTCAGTCACACAACTAATTTAATAATGCTCCCTGTTCCCTGAAGTATTTATTAGAAAGGATTAAATGTATAGATAGAATTAATTTTGTATCAGCCTGTGTTTAAATTCCTGGCAAAATCTTCTGGTACATAGTCATACACTCTAACATGAAATACTGTTTACAAGCTGTGGGGGATGGCTTAAAGAAAAAAAAAAGTATTGTGAGTATCCATAAAATAGAAATGTTTCTCCTATTTGCAATCTATATCAGTGTGTCAGTTTTTGTTTAATTAAGTCACAGATGCTGTGCACTTGCAGGAGTATGGTGGATCTAGAAGTATAGTAACACAAATGAGATGTACCCAAAATAACATTTCTAGGAAATAGAAAATTACTTGTAAGCATTTTTGCTGAAGCAAAAAAAGAATATTAGCAGTGGTATCCCTGCTTTATTCTCATCTATTATTTATCTATCCTAAAGGACAGGCAAGGATCAACAGGCATCCATCAACAAATAATTCAGGATGGAAATACAGTTCCCCAAATGTCATATCTATGTTAGTGAAATAGGATTGCCAGCTTCATATTAACCTAATAGACCAAAAGTGATGTAAAAAAGCAACATCACAATTGCTACTCATCATCACTATCATACTGCTTCTAGTCCCACTGGTTAGAGTGCTTTTCATCACATAGATGTTATCAGGGACAAAACCTCCCTCTTTTCCTTAATGGAAAGACAGGCACAGAAGTGCAGATGTATTCAGAACAGGTTGCTTTTGAAATGAAGCTGCTTACACAGCATTACTGATTTGAATAATCATTATATAGTCAACATACAAAGCAAAAGTTCTTGTGTCAAGTGTCACATAACTGCAAGCAATTATTTATATATAGAATGAAAATACATGTTTTTGCCATCACCCTAGTCACATCAAATACAGTAATTTTCCAGTATTGAACAGTAATGAAACACTGGGTTTCTCTCCGGTGGCCATTCAGAACTTCATGGTTAGTCTGGTGTTTAAGCAAAACATTGCTGGCATTCACATACATGTGTATGTATTGACATATACACACAGAGATCCTGGTTTACAACTCAAAATTATCCTTTCATTATTGGCTTTAAACAGTTATTTCCTTCAAGGAAAAAAAAAAAGAAAAAGAAAAAGAAAGAAGTGCCAAAGCCACCAAGCTAGCCCACAGCAGAACAGCAAAAAAGCAGCAGGTTTCAGGGCAGCCACCTTATCAGTTTCCTCTGGTTTTGCTCCAGCAATCCATGGCATTGGAATCCATTGTTTCTCCTTCCCAGGCAGTGTTTTCACTTGGAAAATGTGGTCTCCTTTTTTCTATTTGGTTTTCATTTTATAAAGCCAATGTAAATCAACAAGCAATGAGACAGACATGCACTATACATCAACATAAAAACAAATTATCTGGAAGTGACAGAACATATGAAATGAGCAAAAAAACTGAAACCACCAAATATCGAGTAACTTGCAAGGCCCTCAATTTCAAGAGAAGAAATCAATACAGAAAATATACAAAACCATATATTAAAAAATAAGTTACATTTTTACATAAATGTCTGTTTCAACCAAAAATATATTTATAGCTATTAAATGAATCACTGTATCATGAATGTTTGAAAATATGACCAACATTTGTACCTGTGCATATACCATTATATGTAGAAATATTAAGGTACTACTCAGAAATTTGAGGAATTTCTTGTCAGTAACCACAAATTAAAAAAATAAGAAGTGATGCATGGTTAGTCACTGTGCTCTCTGTATGCACATACTCACAGTTCAGATCACTTACAGATCTTACTGAAATAATGTCCTATTATCAAAAATAATTTTGTAGCATCAGGCCTGCTTAATTGAAAGCTCACCTTTCTGTGGACTAAAAAAAACCTGAAGAATTTAAAGGGATAGGACAAAAATACATTTAAGGAAGGAAGGGTAGGAACCATGGTGATAGACAAGGACAACAACACAACAAACTGATTTCTTTGAAAGACCAATGCACTCAGCTACTGTATTGAAGAAATAGTTAATAACCCAAGAGAACTAAAAGTTTCACAACAGCATGAGAAATTTGGGTAGGTTTCTTGCTACAGGCATTGAGGGTGATATTTGTAGAAAACTGTATTCCATAGTGCTACTTCAAGGTTCAGTCAGAAAGGAGAGGTAAGAGAAGTAGATAAATTCATTTTACAGACTTTTAAAGACTAAGATAGGTAAATTTTAACAACTACATTAAATGTGTCCTGAAGTCAACACTGTAAATTAACTGATCACATAAAGTCCTTCTGAAACAAAACACAGATTGTGTGTGTATTATGCACAAGCTGTCTATGAAGAGATATAGATAACATATAGAAAAGGAAGGAAGATTTCTACTGTCACTGAAAAATCGTTTCTATCAATCTGTGTAAATCAGAGTGAAATTTAAAATATCCTTAACATACAGGAAAATGCTGCCATCACTTCTGTTTTCTTCTAATTCAGTTGTTCATGTAGAAGAATAAAATTCCACCCACTCTTTAAAGTCAGGTCCAATAATAATGGTAAAAAAGTTAATGTATACTTAGTATAAACAAATATTATATCAGACAAATAAAGTGTTAACCTGAAGGACAAACTGCATTTGCTGTATGACACAGAGGGTTGTATGGAAAGGCATGCAGACAGGTGTGAGCAGTGACATACCCCTTGTGTCTGTAGGGACAGAGGTGTGATACGCCGCTTTTCCCACTCATTTGGGCGTGGTTCGGGTGTGGATTCCATGAAATTGCGCTTGAGCTCACTAATGCTAGCCTGGTGTTTCAGTAAGTCGTCCTGGGTCTTATCCAGGTCCTAGCAACCCGCAACATAAAACAAAGTAGGACAAAACACGACAACAAAAGCAAACTTAACTGAAAAAAAAAAAAAAAGAAATAGAAGCAGTCAAACCAAGAAAAGTGCCTTGTGTGTGGTGACCTCCTTTGTAGAACCTCAAAATACAAATGTTTAATACTATAAGGGACCAAGATTTTCTGGTTTTGTTTTTGTAGTAAAGGTCTTACTCATACACTGTTTCTTCCATATTTTAAAGCAAAGGAAAATAATGCTGTACATGGATTTTGCAAAGAGCTACTTTAGTCCAAAAATTTCCAGGAGCTGTTTGTTTTCACGTAAAATTTGTAACCACAGACACAAATGTTTCAGGATACTGCACAGCTAACATTACTGAAGGTAGCTGTAAGAAAGAACAGGTTAACCCAAGGAGCATAAAAATGCATCTTTCATGATATTACAAGCTCTATGAAAAATACTTATATCTGTGAACACAATACTACAAGGCCAAATATACAAGCAGCTAATATCTACTTAGCTTCAGAGAGACAACTCATTGTGCCTCTCATGCAGGCTTAAAACTTACTGGAAGAATCAGATTTAAAGACTTAAAAGCTGTTACGTGCCAATTCTACTTTTAGCAACCTGACAGTAGACAGACAAGTAGGAACAGTTTTTGTGCATGCCAGTACGAAGAAAATTATCTAAATTTCACCTCAGTGCCAAAGGAAACACCACAGTGTGAATTGGATTTTCTCATGACCATTGAGGCCAAACTGCAGCACCTTGGATCAAGTAATTACAAGGTATTCTTTCACTTTGTATCAGCTACAGGACAGAGGTAAGGTTCAGAAGCTATGTCAAAATGTAACTGCTCTAGTAATTGGACAAAAATATATATGCTTAGCTTTCTTGATAATTCATTGTCTTCTAAATACAATGGCTGGGATTTGGTGGGAGAAGCAGATTTCACCCTGCTTTCACAATTTGTCCTCCTTCCAGAATTCCAGGTCTCAAGAAAAGCCCATGTTGCTTATGCTCACTCTAACACAAGAATATTTTTTCATTAGTATTTTACAGTTATAGTCAAGTTTAAGCCTCAGATCCATTTTTAGTAAAGTACTAAAAGACTGAAGATTGAAATGAAATATTATCAATGCAGACATAATTAAGGAAGTTTTGTCAAAAGAATATAATCAGATATAATTATGTAGGTAAAGAATCTGGATTTTTCCAAGGATTTTAAATACTTTTTAGTAGAATGTTCTAAAATCTACCATTTAGGTTAGGATTTTTATTGTCAGTGATTGCAATGCAAAGATGCTTCACATTAAATCATGAAAAACCCACACCCCAAACTCCTTAGGTTCTAGTTTCTTTTCATTTGTGTGTTCAGCCCCAGTAAGGGTTTGATGCTGCACATCTATTTCCTAACCTTGTGGATAAGCCTGCATGCATTTTGAACATTTGAACCTCTCCCCTTCCAGCAACTCTGTATGTTTGTATTGTCACAGGACCACTTTTCATCCTGGACTAACAAATGAGACATTAAATATGTCCCCCTAAAGTTTGTATTTCTTGAGTGAAATAAAATCTTTTGCCAAAGGCATTCTGTTACACAACTGAAGCTAGTAACAATCCTGTAATCATTTTAAGACCTGTCTTGGCTTGACACAAGGCACATTTCTTGGGCTTGATCAAAGCACAGTTATGCAACGCACACTTTCAGTGCTTCAGTAAGTTATACACAAGCAAAGTTTCAATAGTGATCAAAAAGCTGCAAAAAGCCATAAAACATTAGTTGGGTTACTGCGATCCACACATCTCCTTATTACTGAACAAAACCAATGATTTTCAAAAAAACTGGTTTTGTGACAAAGGGAATTATTTATAGCCCCATCTGGATGAATGAAATAAAGACAGCAGTATGATTTTTAAAAATATCTTCAGTTACTAGCTTAAGTTATTAACCACAAGTTAAATGATACTAATAACAACTACAGTCTCTGATAAAATAATTGAGATCAACAATCTATATGAAAATTCTTATAATAAAAATCTCTACTTTGGTGACAATGCACTACATGTGAACACACTGTTCAAAGCTCTTTGCTGTTGCTCATCTGCAATGAAAACCAACCTTCAAGAAGCAAAATTTACTTCCATTTGAAAAGGAAAAAAAAACCAGCAAATATTTCAGAAGATATTCAAACATTCCCTTTGAATATCTGATCCTTGCATCATTTTTCAATGTTCCTAAAACCAGTGTCAGAACCAGAATTAGTTTTCTATACTTCTACTGCTTGCCCCTTACTAACTTTATTTATTTAGCTCATGTATTTGAGGAAGGTTGATTAAACTGGCAAAAGCTGGAAACCCTACTCAACTGAATATGCAAACATTGAGGTACAATGTACAAAAATCCATTTGGAATTACGAATTGCACCCATGTGCCTGCTGTATCTAAATAGGGCTATTATTCCCAGTTGCCACCTTGAAAACATTTAGCAAAAATACACAAATTTACATTCTGTGTTCAAGCTGAGGGTTGGCTGTGGGTGTTTTGCATTTGTTTGTTTTTTGTTTAAACTCAGAAACTAGAATAGTAACATGCAACATTTCCAAGCCGGTTTTCCCCATGCACTTCATGCAGTGTGGCCGTAACAGCCTGCAGGTGACCTCCCATCCCATGCAGCCTGGCAGCCCGTGAGAATGGAGAGTACTTTCTGTATTACATACAAACCTCCAACATTAAATTGCTATGTCTGACATAAATATTTTCCCCGTCTACTCTCAAGGAACTGATCTGTGAAATTGAACCACATAAACAGAAAGAAAACAAAAACAAAACATAAAGAACATAAAATGGACCAGCAAGTAAATAAAAAAGGACCCTTACAATCAGACAGTTAAATAAAGGAAATAAAATGGTGAGGTGAAAAGGCACTATTCAGACAAAACAAAATTTAACAGAAAATTTAGGATGCTAACAAGGCAGGCAGCCACAGCCAGGTTCAATTGTAAAAGAACAACCAAGCACCTTCTGCTGTGCTTCCTCCTCTTCGTATTCCACCTGTGCAAGCGCATGACAAATTATCAAGAAAAGGAAGAGTTAACACTGGCTTACAGACTAACACAGAGGCTTCACCTCTTGGTAAATATTGCAAAGCGTGCTGGATTTTACAGACCTTGACTTTTTCGGCCCCAGATGTTGAAATTAAGCAACTTGGGTCTTCTTGCACCTACATTGTTGTAGAATGGCTGAAGTAACTTTTGGCATAAGTGGCATGAAAAATGGAAGTTTCACACTGTGTCCCTTTCTTGCTGAACTTCTATTGTTTCCCAGGTGAAAATTTAAGAATGAGTAACAAACAAAAATGATATGCATAATTTATATGGTAAGTGACTTAAATTCTGCAACAAATTGATGGGAAAATGGAATCTAATCCAGGAGTTCATTTGGGAAAAGAGTTTAGGGTTCAAGTCAAACACTTAAAGACTATTTACAAACTGTCTTCAATTTTAGGAACATTATTGTCTTGGGATTAACTATTTGCACATATACACATACACCTTTTGTTAAGTGAATATATTTATTTTTAAACTGCAATTAATTCTGTTGATAATTTTCTGTAGGTAATCTTCGTATCTCATCTCCAAGTACTCTGAATGCCTTAAGGGACAGCATTCTTTAAAAATTGAACCACATCCCAGTTGTCTCTCGACAAGTACAAATATCAACTGACAATCTTAGTAAAAGATTTACAAGTCAACACTGTGTAAATACATAAATTTGAAGATGGATTTACTGCTCATACTATTGCATTTTGGATTCTGTGTGAATGACACAGTACATATAACATTTTTATTAATTTCTGACTTATCTGGGGTTGTATTTTCTGTAACTACACTAAAAATTATTGATTGGATTAGGCTACGGAAAAATTGAGAAAATCTTAAAGTCATGTTTTTCATTATTTTATACTTAGACTGGTATTATAATGGCATCGTGTCTTATTCAGCAGGTCTTTAATATGTACATGGGTTTAGCAAACTTTGTTAAATGTAACACTAAACAGATCCTCTCCTCCATTTTGATTCTATAATAATTGGTTTAATATTTTCTTTGAGGATCAAAATAGAAGACCTTTTTCTAGTGGTATTGCTGTAACATGTGCAGCAGACATAAGGAAAGGAGGCAGTATGTCAGCCACTCCAGATGATCAGAGCAACATACTGGTGTGACTGAGGCTTCTGTACATTTTAGCAGTGTATTCCAAAGAATGCTCAGATTCTAGTGACACGGTCTGACATAACCTGCCATCCCAGCTAATGAACTAAATCAGTCTCAACTGCTGCTAGAGATTAATCAAAGCATGTAAAAAAAGAAAAAGTGCCTTGGACAGACTCAGCTTTGCACACACCTTTGTAGAGCTGAAACATCTGAAATCAAAACACTGATTTTAAAGTATTCACAGTTTTCTGAATTCAGCTTTTAGGAATTTCATTTTTCAGATCTAAACAGAACTTCAGAGATGTACATTCCAGTCAATGCATGCGGGAGGACAGGCATTTTAAAACCAATTGACATTGCAAATAGAACTTGCAAATAGTATCAAATAACATATCTATTGTTACACAGAGCACTTTCAGTATTCAGTTTTATGTCCTCATTAACACTTTGAGCTACAATGCAAGTCCACCTGCAGCTCAGTATCTGGGGAATTCAATGAGATTATGCATGCTATAGGAAATTAGGCAGAAAAACCATAAGCTATCTATTGACTAAAAATCCCACAATGGCAATTTTTCACAAATGAGAAATGCTAAAAAGATATAGATATACACATGTGCATTTGTGTATTGATAGATGTATTTACAGGCATGTACACAGAAACACCTCTAAACTAGGAAGTGTGCAAAACTGAGCAAGCCTCGTGAGAACAAGCATAAATGCAATGTGCAAGTGTCAACATTTAAGCAGCAAAATTACACACCTCCTCTTCCTCTGCTTTGTCATTCAGGTCATTGCCACTAGAGCTACTAAAGGAAGTCACCTTAGGCTCCAGGTAGCAGAGGGACAGAGCGAGAGGAAGGGAAAATGTGAGTGAAAAAGGAATAGACTGGAAAGCAGACAGAAGCAGGACAAAGACAAGGAGAAAAGAGGGGATGAAGGAAGGAGAGGTAATAGGAATATAGTGCTGAAGGCCAGGTGGGAGGAAAGAAATGCAAACATCAGGAAGGCTAGGAAAAGTAATATAGCCATCCTCATCAAGCAAAGAACGAAAACTAAAAGAAAGGCATCGGAAGAAGCTGAATGACACACACAACTCAGTGCTTTTGTAGTCATTTGTACGGATTTTTCCCTCAACAGCAGGGGAGCCTCGACTAGCTAGGGGTCTCAATTCCAAGGAATTAATTGGTGAAGCTGTTCCGGTTTTCTTATGATCTGATGTTTGTTCCATGGAACTGCACTCTGAAATGTCTGGAATGGTAAGGAGGGGCTCTTCAAAGGGATCTTCCTCTGAAATATCTGAAAGCATGTCGATCTCCGGGACAGGTGACAAGTATGTGAGATGGGATGACACAGGATGGATGGGCAGTGATGACGGGTGTATGTGAGTAAGCTGAAGAAAAGAATTCTGTGCACAGTGGAAAATGAAAGCACAACAAAAATGCAAGTTTGAAGGCACATGAAGAGGGGGAAAAAGAGAAATTGTTAGTTAGTGAAAACTTTTACTTAGAAGAAGGGATAGCTTTACTAATGCAATAGAAATAAAAATCCCACCGTGTTTTACAAGCAGCCAACTTGTTTACTTCTGTGGATTATGAAAGGAACACATTCTAAATGTTTTTTTCTCAGGCTGTAAAGAACTGTGCACTTTTGAACTGTAATAGTCACTTAAAACAGATGGAAGCAGACAGACATTCAGAGCTTTGGCAGAAAGGTCAGAGAACAGTGCAGTACACAAAAGACAAGCTGGCACTTCTTGGGTTTATAACTGTTTTCTCTAAGACTTAAAGAGAACCAAAAAGGAAAAGAAGCATCTCCACTAGGGCAAAGAGGAAAAGCTGTTCATAGAATAAGTGTATGTAACAAAACCGTACTGAACAGCTTCCTGGAACAACCTTCCAAAATACTGCCTTCCCCTCCCTTGGTGAAAATATTGAAAGATACACCACTTTTGAGAACATGGGAGAATCACCATTTAACCAAGCCCAAAGGCAAAACATAGTAATTTATTTTACCATTTTTCTCCTGTAAAGAAACTGTGTGTGCCTTTTTTTTTCATCTATTTCAAAATTATTTGAACTTGCCAGCAAGCAAAAAAATGCAGCTGTGTTATTTGCTCTCTTCCTACACTTGAATGCAGTGGGAACCTATAAACTGCAGAGAGAAACTCAGCAGTCTCACCAAGAATAAAATGGGTAGCTAACTTGCAAAAATGTTTGAGGACAAAATTACTCTTTACATATTAAACTAAGTTCTGGAGAATTGTTGAAATAGAAATGATCTCCAAGAGAGAATGAGCAGCACAAGCACTTTGGGAGGAAACTTTTACATCAAATCATACAAAATATGGATTAAATTTTTTGACATTCCCCCTGTAGCTGAAACAAACAAGACAAGCAAACAATTGCAACAGGAACAGATCACAGTACTTAACTTTTCACAGGAACATATTCCTTCATCATAATACAAGTTCAGCAATGGCTACTAAAACAAAATCATTACCCATGGTAATAAAGCTCAATCATAATATGCCCAGCTCTGTAGACCGTACATAACCATGGTATATTAACATTTTTACTCAAGTCTAAACAAACTAAGGAAGTGAATAAAACATGATTTACCCTTTTAAACATTTTTTTCAAAAACTCATGGAAGCTTATTGAGCATTTAAATGATATTTACAGCAATAAAAGAAAAATCTAGGTCAGTGCCATTTAAAAGTTTGTATTCTCTTTTGCTTACATATACTTACATTAAATTAAACACACAGAAAACACTTGACAATTTTCCCTTAATATTTTAATATAGTGTTCTATATGATACTCAGAACTGATAGACACTAAATAACCTCACATGGATGCAGACATTCACATGAATAAATAATTTTGGTGTAAAAGTCAGACATACCTTTCCATCCTGAGTAAATTCTAATTGTGGAGTTTTGAGTGGACTTTCATCTTCTTCTCTGCCACCTTCTTTTAACTTGGCCCGACCAGCAGCTTCAAGATCAATAATTTTATCTCCAGCAGCCTGCCCTCCAGTAGCAGAGAAGTCTCTTACAAGACTTTGGTCTGAAATACCCATGGGAGCTATTAGAGAACAAAATAATTTCGGCTAATTTAGAGAAGCTGAAACATTTTGGTTTTAAATCTTCTTACAAAAAACACTTTATGATGATGTCAGCAATGATCAATACAGGCTAGTTACTAAGTGATACAGTATTTTTCAGCTTCTCAGCTTTACAAACAGTCTGTAGTTCCCATTGCACTGGTACGAATAGCAAAGTACCCATCATAAAACTTGCACATATTTTGTATGGAAAATACCCTCACAGTATCAGACAAGTAGTTATCAACTTCTTGATTAGTCTTGGAAGATAAATTGTAGGTAATGATCTTTTGGGTGTAAAAATCATCATTAGAAAAAGAGAGAGAAATATGGAAGAGCATTTTGTGGAAATTCACTATTTGAGAGGACGACTTTAATGCAATCTAGAAACAGTTATGCATATAACTGTCGCAGTATTTTTTGCTGGAACTTTAGCAACACTGCACAAGCAACTCAGTGAAACTAAGAACCTTCCTCCCTATATGCTTGCAAAAAATGGAAGGGGGAAATACTAATAATGTATACTTGAATACAGACAAAGCACAAGAGAGTGAAAGGCCTTAAATTATCTTCCTCTTATTTGACTCAGCCTAACAGGACTAATGAGAAGGATGGATCTTTTTTTAAATCATGATGAGTGGCTTAATCAAAATAGTAGTAATGAAATAGAAGAGAATTCATTAAAAGAAGGAGTTTTAATAAATACAACTTTGATATAAACTTAATTCATTTAGAATGTTATGTAATACCTCCATTAAAGCTGAGAGGAAGAGGTGTTTCTTGGAGTACCTTTGAGGGATATTTTCCTTCAAAAAGTCTAAGCTTCACACTAGAGACTCCCTTAAGATGCTAAGAAGCCAAGCTCAGCCTAATGGGAAATGTGGCATTTGGGATTTAAGGATTTTGGGAAACCTCTCTAAGTTCTGCAGCCTCAACTTCTGATCCCTTTGTGGGTGGCAAATAGAGCATTTCTAGGGTATACATTGCTCAGTAAGTTTTGATAAGTCAGAGTAACTTAGGTCAGAAGGAACATCCAGAGGTCAGCTAGTCCAAACCCCTGCTCAGAGAAGGTCAGATTAGACCAGATTGCTCAAGGGCTTGTCCAGTTGAGTTTTAAGTACCTTCAAGGTCTTTTTAAACAAGCAAAAATTTGTTACTTGTAACTGAAATCTGCTGTGTCTCAACTTGCAGGCACACCTCACTGCCTCATCACCAGGTGCCTCTGAGAAACACATGGGTCTGTTTTTTTCTATAGGTTCCCTGTCAGTAGCTGTAGACAGCAATACCTCATTACAGCCTTCTCCTTTTAAATCCGAAGGACCACAGTTCCCTCAGCCTCTCCTGATATATCACAGCCCCCAGCCCTCTAGCCAGCTTGCTGCTCCTTACTGGGCTCATTGTAATATGTCACTGCCCATCTAGTACTGTGGAACCCAAAGATGAACACAGTATTTCAGGCACAGTCTCAGAAAGTACTGAATAAAGAGAAGCTATAATTTCTTCTGATCTGCTGGCTACGCTTTTGCTAATACAGCCCAGGATACAGTCAGCATTCTCATGTTCACTCGTGTTCAACCTGTTCCACAGGAGTCTCCAGATCCTTTTGTGCAAAGCTGCTTTCAGAACATTGTTTCATCATGGTCAAAATTTTGACCCTGATGCTTCTGTAAGAGTGAAAGTTAGGACCTGAAGATACGTGCCTGTGTGCCTGTATTCTGTAGATGATGTAAAAGGGATGCCAGAGAGGCTTGATTATAAAACCATTGAGAGTTGTGAAGAATTCAAATTGTTCCTAGCCAAAAGAAGAAGAGGAACAAAACATTGATGTGGTGTTGGGTCTTTTGGTTGCCACAAGAAGTCATCATGTGCTATACTGGTGCAAGGACTTTTGCCTCATATTTTTACTTTAGTTCTCAGAAGGTAAGATTTGGTATGTTTCCCAAGGAAGTGTCACAGTTGGTCATTTGTCATAGTACAGAGAATGAACATATATTGAAGTAAAACTTTCCTAAGTAAAAGATTTTTTTTAAGAAAATAAGATAAAGTTGACAGCTCGGTTGTAGCTAAACTCGCATCACTGTCATAGTTCACTTTTATTCCAGTGAGGTTGTGCATGCCTGAATCTAAGTCAAGCTTCATGTTATTTTGCTATAGTTTTTTTCCATTATATATAATTGAGTAAGACATGTGCTTTTACATCTCTCACACATAGTGTTGCTATACCTGCCTTTGGAAAGAATGCCTGCTTCCAATAAAGGAAACCAGAAGGTATGTGTGCTCAAAAAGACCAAATACAGTAATGACGAAAAAAACCCTTTAGCTATTCAAAGTGAATGTAAAAATGTTTAACTAAACACTGAGGTACTGAATATACTAGGATAGCAATATACTGAACAAAATTATGGAAAACTCTAAGGATCAATTGGTTCAGCCTTTTTTGTTTAGAGAAGTGCAAGACCAACCCAGATCTCAAAAGATGCTACTGACCAAACAATTTTATTAAGAGCCTGTAGTGTGTGCCTATGCCTTCAAAAAGGTATGAGTAGTGTACATAGATGCTACATACCCAATATAGTGAACTCCATATACCCACAGCAGTGCCATATCATTTAGGCAGTGACTGAACTTAATGTTTAGGTCACCCAACCCTGACAAGTACCTAAAGTGGCTTTAGAAATTGAAATTCATAAATCTGTCAAATGACCTTCTGGCCATCCGCAACGTTAACATTTACCAGTGTTGGTCAGGTCAGAGTGACAACACATAATGTAATCACAACACTGAAAAAATAACTCAAATTTCATACCTCCATCAAGGCTTCTGGAAACACGTTTGCTGGAAGTGCGTTCAAAGTAAGGAGCTGGTCTGTCTATGAGGCTGCTGGCCTGTCGTGTCTGCGCCTGCGTACGGCCGCTGTAGCGGAACTTGGAACCCAAGGTCAGGAACTTCGCTTTGGGAGGCTGTTCTGGTGATAGAAGTCTGAAAGGGAAATATGAACTAAGTCAGTTTAAAAGGCTTTATTTTAAGTATTTAATGAGTTAATTTGAAGCTACTTATTGTACTTCAGCTTCAGTTCACAGTGCATAATTTGTGCTCTCCAAGAAAGGATTTACTGTAAGCTCTTCAAAGATCTTTTAAACAATGCATGTTATTTATTGTTTGCAGTTGAAGTAATGCTGGTAACCATCACATTTTTCCACAGTATGACCAAGCATCTGGGACTCTTATCTTTTGGTGCTATTTTGGTTACATTTTAATTTTTTGTAGAAAAACCTGAAAACTGAAGTCATTATAGGTCATGTAGAATACCTCAGCCTTAGAGTGTTACTTATGGCAAAAGCTATACATCCCACTTCCACTGCCTTTCCTATATTTTGATGTACCAATACAGCAGCTGCTCTTCCTCAAAGTTAGGGAAGGTTTCTCAAAGGTGTATAAAAGGGAATATCATGTGAAAAGATTGAGAAGACTGGAGAGTTGTTACCCAACAGCAAAAAGTTTAACAGTCTACATTCAGACTCTATGTTCTTTACAATGTCATTTATAAAATTATATAGGTTGATGTTTGCTGGATATAAGGAGTGGGGGAAGAAGCATATTGTGAAAAGGGTGAGAAAGAGAGTTATATGTACTCTTAATGCCAGGTATGTGTGTTTGTACAGTAAGTGTTGGAGTCCTTGCCAGAAAGTCCAGAATGGGCTACCCAGAGAGCTGGTGGAGTCACTGTCACTGGAGGTGTTTAAAAAAAGACTGGATGCGGCACTTAATGCCATGGTTTAGTTGATAAGGTGGTGTTAGGTCATAGGTTGGACTTTATGATCTCTAAGGTCTTTTCCAGCCTGGTTGATTCTGTACCACCATCACGTGAGTTTGAAGACATCCCATCCTTTCTACATCCCTGAATTTCCTTCAGTAATTTCAGACTTCTAGATCATACTCATCTAACCCTACTGCCTCTATTTTGTTTTTGAAATCTGATCATCAACTGGAACACTGAGGGTCCACTGCTATCCTTGCTGATAAAGCAAACAGTCATCACTGCAAGAAACTCCTCCCAGTCCCCAGTACTCTGGAAAGGCCTTTGAAGTTGTTTTCTGGATCAATGTAATGTTACAATACATGCTCACCCATTATGGCCTACTCTCTCTCTCTATAAAACTATCAGATTATTGCAGACAAAGCTTCTTGATTTGAGAATTTGCAAAGAATGAGCAGCTCACTGAACATAAACTTCTTTCAAGCATAACCAGTCAGTCAAATGCCATTTGTACTGAGGATGGAACAAATGGGCAAACAAGAGTTCAAACTGTTTGACTTTGTTCCCCTCTTCTGAAGCCCTTACACAGAAATATCTGTGTCAGCAAAATCCGATCCAACATACGTAAAGGCACTATCCAGTACTGGGTTCTGAAGACTGCAACAATCATTCTAAATGAGTTTCAGCAAAACTGAAGAATTTTCAGATGGCTAGCAAACAGAACAGTGAGCTGTGGTGAGCTGACCCTGGCTAATACCAGGGCCCTATCAAAGACACTCCCCTTTCTCAGCTGGACAAAAGAGAGAGATGTAAGAAGCAGCTTATGGGTGAGATAAGGACAGGGAGACATCATTCATCAATTGTCCTCATGAGTAAAACAGACTAGACTTGTGAATAAATTAATTTAATTTCTTATCAAGCAAATCAGAATAGAAAATGAGAAGTAAACCTAAGTCTTAAAAACACCTTCCCCCCCTTTCCATAAGAGGGGATGTTTATTGGGGCACTAGCCAGAAGCATACAATTCCCCATGTCTAAAATGCAAATCTTAATCTGTTCCAACATTTATAAAGAAAACAATTCAAGACTAGTCTTTCTCCCCATTACTTCCAAGAGGGACTGCATTATGTACTAGGACAAAGAAGGCTAAAAGGGTTTTTCCAAGGTTCCTTCAGTTGTTGATTTTCCAGTCTTGGCAAGGTTGCAGCATTAACTGCCATTTTTATCTTCCACCCTGCTGAGATAAACTTTTAATCTTTTAATGTGAAAAAAACAAGAGAACTAATTACTTCCTCATTAAGGGCATTTGAATGGATTTTTGTATTACAGGTTTAATTACGTAAAATAACTGAAAACTGTGTTTTTACCACTTTAAGACATTCTGAGGAGATGCTGAAAAAATCATGCAAATATAAAATAAAATATCATAAAGCAGGAATAAAATCACATTTCTGCAGACACTGTTTAAGATCCAGAGCTGTCAACTAAGCTTATCTCAAAACTTTTATGTAGATATATGGTTTGACTGCATTTTTTAGTAGTAGATTGCTGCTCTTTGAAAATGCTACTGGAATCCTCTAAGTTTGAGGTGATAACAAGTTAATACAATGCCCTTTGGTAGTCCTTTTCAATACAGTTCATTACAATTTTTATAAATAGCTTCATATACTAGTGAAATTCCTATACATTATCAGAATGGATCTTATTGTGATTATTTGAGACAAACTGAAGCATTACATAAGACAACACAAGGAATCTCACCGTGTTATATAGGACATGCTAAGAGATTTGGAAGCTAAAAATATGCATCTAAACTGTATACAATTCACTGTGGCATCATACACAAGCTTTACACATGCTCTGGATGAGCTACAGTCTCTTGGACTGTAGCAATTGCTTTTTGCTTTTTATCTTTGAAGGCAAATAGAGCTGGCTTTATTTTACTGTTTTTAAATCAGGATGAGAGATTCTAAGGATTTTGTCTCTGATGACATCAGTGGAGTATATGGATTTACAGAACGGTTCAAGTATTTGTTACATAATTCTTGTTATAATGTCATTCCTGGTTAGGAAAAACCACTTCTAATTGGAATAAAATCCAATTATTTTTATTATGTCAGAATTTCTGTAGTAAGGTTATTTCATAGCTATTAATGCCCCTGAAAGCTTTCAGACTTGCAAATGGGAGTTGTCAGTTTAGGATTTTTGACTTCCATAAGACTTGCTTTTTCCTTATTCAGGTCTATTTTATTACTATAAAACTAGGAAATGCATCTTACCAACAAAGCAAAACACTGCAGGAGTTATCTGAAGAGTATTAATAAACTCTTCACTGTAGACAGAACTGCATGCTATTTGTGGCAATAGAGACCACCAGCCAAAGCAGACTTCAAATTTTCAAGAATAGAATGCTGGACTGTGTTAATAAATGAATCCCATCAACATGAAAAAAAAAGTCAGATCAGGATTTAAAAAAGAAGTGCTTCTAAATTTAGCATTTGGAGACCGATTTATGCTGAGATTTGGCAATTTCAGCCTAAGTTCTACCTTTGCATTCAAGAACATGCTACATTCAGTGAAAACCTGAATACTGAAAACCATCCAATGAGACAGTTCCAGTAATCATCTGCTTAGACCTCCTGGTCCCCAAGTTCTCTGAAGTTCCATCTAGTAAGTATATTCAGCAACAGGATTGCATCTACTTTAAAACACAACTGCTTTTTTTAAACAAACAGGCTACTGAAGGAGAAAGCTTACCATTACACAGGTACCAGTGCCTAGGTACTGTGCTTTGAAGCAAAAACTCAGATTCAATGCCTATCCAATTCATAGGAGATTCAACCTAAATCTGTGGCTCCTAGGCTGCAGGGAGCACATGCACACCCTCATGGAATGTGTGTTCTTGTAAAAATTAAACAATGTCAAAATCCTTTTTCAGTGGAGAAAGTAGACAGAGGAACAGCTCTGAGGCCTGTTGTTAAGGTGCTCATTAACAAATAGATCATAGTTTCAATGACCAATTCAGTGTTCTGTGTTCCTCAATTGCTGGAGAAAAAAAATGCAGAGGATGTTACAGATTATTACATAAACAAGTAGTCTGTTTAAAGTGATTGTTTTTTGAAGAATGATTGTGAATTTGTGAACTCAACCTAGTTCATAAATAAGGAAAAATTCAGCTAGAAGCATTTATACTCAGCAGAATGTTCAAATCAATTAAATGAAGATTACTGTCAAGTCCATCTTGTGATGATATATAAGGCCTTTTTAGATGGTGATTCTGAAAAGTCAGTCTCTCAAGAAAACAGACCACAAATCACAGAATGTATCAGGTTGGAAGCGACCACTGTGGGTCATCTGGTCCAACCTCCCTGCTCAAGCAGGGTCATTCCAGAGCACATGGCACAGGACTGAGGCCAGGCAATTCTTGCATACCTCCAGTACTCCATGACCACTTATTTAGTTCCATCCTCTTAGCACTCTTGGAAGTTTGAATAAAGCAGTTAATTGTACTTGAGACTTTAGAAATTGGTAATTTGGGATCAGTTATTGTCAGGTTATCTTCTGTCTAGGAGGTGATACTGTAAGGGGCAAAGAAGGGGGAAATCTTTACTTTCCTCCACCCTTTAAAATAAAGATATGAGCATACCTTGCAAAGTGGGGGAAGGAGAGAATTATCATTTACCTGAAGAAAGTATGGTGCTCCACACAAACCTTCCATAACCTTTTAGCAGCCCGATGGTTTGGCAGTTTGAACCCAATAGTGCTCTCAAACTGTTCCAGCTGGAAAGAATCCACAAATAAATTAATCAATTTCCTTAAGCTGGCTTTTAATTAAGAGGTAGAATTCAGATAGTTCCATTACTGTATCAAGCTGTAATATTCCTGCCATAAGACATAATAAGATTTTTAAAATTTACTTTTAAATGTCAGAATTTCCAGCCTTTTAAAAGAATTATACTTGGTAGGCTATATCATGGTGGCTAAATTGCATGAAGTAATTGTACTGCAGGTTGTGCTTTGCACTTTGCTTGGATTTAATAAACATCTGAAATCTATATGGCAGTGTTAAATGTATATGATCTGTATCACTATATAATACTTAGCAAAAATACTTAATCCATGACAGCAGCAGTGAATGCAAGAACAATACATCTGCATTAGAAAACTTACATAACTACAATGTTAGCATTGTAAAATTGATGTTTGGATGTCTCTTTTATTTTATTTATTCACACAATAAAAGCCACCTTAAACACTTTACAGGATAAACTTAAAGAGCATTAGAATATTTGACATTTTGGGGTTTTTTTTAATTTCCTGTAACAAAGGGTTCAAAATGTAAACATGCACACAGCCCCTTCAGCAATTCCCAGAAACTTCAGCAGTAACTGAAGAGAAAGTTGAATCCACTACTTCCACAGCAGCTAACAAAGTTATAACAATCTACAGAATAACTCAAGTCTTTGAGGTGCTGACATTTAGTGGAAATTACACCCAAAGAGGAAAAGCAACTGGCTCTCTCTCAAGACTGCAAGTTTGCACAGTCACAATGTGGCCAATGTAACTAGCTTTTTGCTTAAAAAAACCCAATAAAATAACAAGACAGCTTCTATAAAGAAAAAAAAAATAAAATAGATCTTCTTGGTTTGCCTTTACTAATCAAGACAGGTGTTTAATACAATCATTAGAATCTGAAGAGGAAAAAACCCTCATAAGTTCTGCTTGAATATATCATAAACTTAGGAGGACAACTGTGGAAAAAATGAAGATGTTTTCTTGTTGCTGGACAGAAATGATGTCACAAAAGAAACAAAACTGGAAGGTGCTACTTACTTCTGCTGGCCTGACTTTGATGTAGAAATTACTTCGCTTGTAGGAAATCTTCAGAATTTTTGGCCAAGCGAAGCGGTTGATCCGGAGTCTGTCTTTGTAAATCAGCAGACCATTAGCACATACACCCAGCATGATATCCACACCTTCAGAATCCTACCAAGTATGAAATGATTTCATAAAAATCACTTCAACAACATTCCAAACAAGTAATTATTGCTGACATACCTTGAAGTAATATAAGAACTGGGACATGTTTCATATGCAAACCTGGCTCTCACAATAAGATTCTTAAAACAGAAATAGCGAAGTATATTCATTTTATAGGAAGCACTTTGGACTCTAAGTAATGATTTTGGCATTCATATGCCACAGTTCTGGGAAATTCTTCAATATCCTGGTAATAGGGACTAAGATAAGGTATGGCCAGTGTGTGTGCTAGCAATAATTTCAACAAATATTAAAAGAAGAAAAATGACAACCAAGACTATCCCATTTAAAGCAGTCAGTGTAAGTCTGAACAAGCTGGTGATCAAGGTGATCTTTTACAGTCATGTACTATTCCAGCAAACATAGAGGAGGTAATGGATAGGTTTCTGAGCATTCTCTTTCACTGACAGCATTTGATGCTAGTTTTATGGGCTACAAAACTAATCACTTACTGATACACTACACAATACAGCAGAGTCTGTCCTCCCCAACAAATGCCAACACTGTCATTACAGAGTTGCTTCACTGGCAGAACTAACAAAACAAAATATAACCATGCTTCTCCAGTACTTAAAAGTCTTGGTTTTCTTTTTTAAATACAAAACAGATATGCTTGCAATACCTTAAGTTTCCTAATGATTCGAGATTCTGGATTTATGAGAGGGAGTGGGAGGAGGTTATTAGTTTGTCTTTTGAGGTTTTAACAAAAAAAAAAAAAAATCACACTTGAAAGGAAAACTTGATTTGACCTATCCCAGGAAGTGGAAAAAGCACCAAAATCCCCCCCATGACCTCCTCCCCATATTTTTTAACTCTCATGGTGAAAACTCAGGTCACTGGGAATATTTCTCTGTCTGCTATGTGGTATCCTGACCCCCAGGGGAGCACTGACTTTGACCTTCATTCTTCATGGAGAAAACTTCCAAAGCCTCAAGGTAAACTAGAAACCACAAAAGTGTGAAATAGATTGTAGAGAGTAGCATAGTATGCCACATGGGTGAGAAATTTAGATTTTAGGATTTTTAGTATGTTATAGATGGGTTCAAGATGGAGGATATAGGGTGTTGAGTTCCCTTCTTCTTTCTTCTTCCTCTTTCTTTTTGGGTTTAGGTGGTATCTTGTAATTGGGTAGAAAAATCTGCATTGCAGTTCTTAAGGGGTCAGTTATTGGGTTAAAAAGGAAAATAATTTAGGTGTCACTTCTTAATTGGGTAGCTTAGTTTTTGATTGGACTTAAAAGTTCTTGTAACACGAGATTGTTAGCCATTTTTGTGCTGTTTTTCCTGCACACAGAGTCTTGTGCAGACTGTGTGCTGAAGTTTTGATAAGTCAACAATAAACAGAAGCTGAAAACTGAAGAAGTCCAATGTGTCTCTCATTCCTGACACAGAACTGCTCCAGGAGGGTCTCCTCTGCCAGGGGAGCTCCCAGGGAGTTGCCCAACTTGGGGCCCACAAATTCACATCATGTCAATGAAAAAAATTACATGTTCCTTTAGGCTTTACTTTATTGGCCCTGCATCTCCCTGGCACAGAAAATACGACATTTTAAATGTCTTTATTTGCTCTTAGGAGTGAAATATTTCCAAGCTGCACGTGTCCATGCACTAAATAAACTTACATATAAATTCTACTGATGTTAGAGTTGTAAATTGAGTAATTATTATAACCAAGAGTTAAAAGCCTACAGCCAAAAATTAAGCATATGACTCTTAAAAAAATAATCTGAATATACAGTATTTTCTTTAATACTTAGCATGTCTATCCTAAAACAAAACCAAACAAACCCAATCCCCAATACCTTGGCATGATGTAAATCCACTCCATACATGGAGAGTCTCTTAGCATTTTCTAGGAACTGGGAATCCGCCTGTGCTGGAGTCAAACCCCTAAAACCATTGAACAAGCTTTGAGTTTATTGGCAAGAAACTGAGTGTCAAAACTGAGTGGAATCCTGGAATCAGACTGATAGAAAAACCTCAGTTTATAAGGTATCAAGAGCATTTTTGCTCTACAGGAAATGTGTTCTTTCACAGCATATTATTTTACTTGAGTACAGATATCTACCTTTACTCTTTCCAGTATGTATGTTGCTGAAACTGTTTCATATAAAAATACTTTTTTCCAAAAGTTCCCTATCAAGACCTTAGTGCGACTACTATTTTCAAACTCATCTGTCTAAACACATTACATTAAGAGCTTTCAGTTACATCAGAAATTATTTCCAAAGTAACAATAAGTTTACCTCAGCAGTTTTACATACACTCTTAGAAGAACTGACATAAATGTGACAAAGCATGATGACTTCTTTTAATCCCACTGTATCTGACACACCTGTGTGTTTTGTGTAGCTCAGCCACTTTCTCTTCCATTTCTTGAGTCTGATTGGGTGCAAACTGGAATTCACTGATATAATCACTGCTGTGCTCCTCTGGGTCATGATCACCCAGCTCAGCCTGCAGGGTATATGAACCAAGGAGGGCGTGAGTCACAAAAGAACAGGGCAGCCGGCCAGATACAATATCCTGTCGAAGCTGTAGGCACAAGAAATACCTGCAAGACAAAGGAGAAAAAAAACAACCGAAGAGAAGGAAGAAGAAAGAAAGGGTTACCTATGGCAGACAATGAGACATAGTGTAGAATTCATCAAAATCCATATAATTGGCTGTGTTCTGTGTTTTAAAGTAAGTGAATGCATTAATAATGACCTTATATTATTTGAGCTTTATTACCACACAGTAAATTTCACTTGATTTTTAAGGATCAGTATTACTTTCATAAAATTGTGAAAAACAGGAAAAATTCTGACTTCCAATAGAAATGAGTAAAAAGCTATCTAGTTTTAAACAAAAGCTGACTTGGGAACTTGTTTAGTTCATATTGTAGCCTGTAGGTAAATATGGTTTAAAAATATAAGCTATGCATTTCTTTGACATTTCCCTTTGGCTCTGAACTTCTGTATCCCTTGCAGTTCACATGGTAATCACGTTATGTAATACACAAAAGAAATCTAGTTTAGTACTGAAACCATAATTACCTTTCTTAAACCATGTATGCATTCAGTCTTTCAGGTCCTTCCACCAAATTTAACAAGTTAAACATCCGCAGACATGCCCACCTTAGCAGAGATTTTTTTTTTTTAAATATAAGTGAAATAAAGTCTTACGAGTGAAACTTGGATTGAAGATACAATCAAAAAATGTTTTTATGAGTTGAACACGCAATTGAAAAACCAACCAACTTGCTGAAAATTTTTGAAGAAAATACACACAATTTCTTGTAAATACACTCTGTACTAAATGTCTTTGATGATGCTACAAATCCCTGTCTGTAGCAATATATTAGCTGCACACTTGCATAGTTATCTTATTTTGTGCAGAAGACTAATCCAATGCAACATGTGGTAGTAACACATATCCTGCCTCAGCAGAGTCAGCTAACTAAAACAAAAATATTTAGGTTTCCTGTAATTCATGAGAAAAATGAATCAGTTCCCTGCACTCCATCCCCAGTTATCAGCCTTGCAATGCTACTTTTAGGTGCTTAGTATCCACCACATTCCAAGTATTTTCTATCTAACAAGTTTGGAAGATAATTATTAACAGGTTTTATTCTGTTTTACGGCTTTATTTAAAGCACATGGGTAAATCCACATTTTCATCCACCTAGTCTAGATCATTACTGAAGTATCTTGGATCCCTTGAGCTTTGCTCAAGACCCCTGTGCCCTCATTTGTTTCGTAACAAAGCAGCAGTCTGACAATAAACCATCGGCTTCTTTCCCATACTATCACTCACACCTTACCTGCTGCCCAAATCATATCCCCACTTATCATTAAATTCTTCTTGATCCAGTTTTTTTCCAGTAGTTTTCATTTTACCTTTCCAACCTTGTTCCAAAAAGCAGTTGATGTATGTAAGAATATCTATAATGGCAGTACCCAGAAACTGAAGAAGAAATTATATGTGGCTTTTAAATCAGACTAGCAGTAATTTAAAGTTTAAAATTAGGACCTGTGCATACCTAGTGATGTCTTCAGTCAACTGTGATGGATCAGGGGGATAAAACTTCACATTAAAGGTGAATATCCAAGGTAAACCTAAACATGAGAAATATCTGATTGTTAATCTCAATTAAGTCCAAGTAAGCAAAGGAAAAAACTTTATTAAAAAATGTTAGAATGTAGAATAAATCCTAATCACTGAAATCTCAATGGAAGTTTTTCTGTTTTTTACTGTACATTATTAAGAAGCATAGATTATTTTCATTAGCAGGTAGAGACCCACAGATATAATGAAAGATCAGTGTAAAATTATTTTTAAATAATGTTTTACAGTAAGTTACACAAATATCAGAAGACATTTTTAATTTGAAAAAGACCATAGTATATTAACACTGTAAAGATACTATGTATTCAAAGGCACTTGCATTGATTTTGTGTTTATCTCGAGCTCCTCCAAGGCTAACAGTCTCCACCTGTCTAAACTTAGTTTGAGAGACTGTACAGTAACTGTAAACATGAGATATCAAAATGAGCTCTGTGTTGTTGTATATAACAGAAAGATAATAAATTATTCATTTAAACTGTGAAAAATACTCACATGAAATATTTCATGAAAATATTCATGAAAATGTGTGGAAGACAAAAATATTAGCCTTTACTACTTGAAAATATTTTTCTGGTAAACATCACATTAAACAACTAGAATAGCAGTGATATTTAAATTCTCATATGTTAGAATTATTAATAACACATGCATTTTTTTAAACAAAAGCATGCCTAAAACTAATAATTTGAAAAAGCATAAAATATTGCATTTAGTCATAGCTCTGTTTTAAATAAATTTTCACGATTTGAAAGCTAAGTAACACATCAATAATTAAAATACATTTTCAGAATGTTAGTATTTTGGATAGTAAATTATTTTAGAAATCTGTGTTTAGAAATCTGTGTTTTAGAGATCTGTGTTACACAGATAAATCATGCTTTGAAAAATATGTCTTTCTACAGCAACAGAAAAAGACTGAAATGCCACTTTTAACACAATGCTAGAAAAAAGTGCTGACATTATTTAAGGTTACTTTCTTAAAAAAATAAAATCTGTTCTGAAATTCCATATATACTAAAGTTAAAGAGGTGTATCAGAATTCCTAATGTCTTCCAATGTTTAAAAAAATATTTTGGTTTTTCAGACATGGCTATTCACTGAAGAAATTCAATGTTTAAGTGTGAAACTCATTCTACACCTGGCTGTTAAGCCACTATTTCTTCTTGAGAGGTCCAGGTTTTCATGTATCTTAACATTCCAGGTTACCCAGTTTTTGTACAATTTTGTGTACAAAAATAAGGTAGGACCCTTAAATGAGGTCTTATTTACCATTGCACTGCCTACTGCAATGCAATGTAAAACAGAATTAAGACAAAAATACCTTGGGAAAAAAAAGTCTAACAGTAATGAATACATAATGAATACACATGCTGAATACAGCATAACAAGCAGTTGATGATGGAATAGATTAACCTACTTCCATCATGTCCCAGGGAATCAGCATAATTTAATGAAAAGACGCTGATATTGGGTAAACCAAAGTGATGAGTATGAGCACTAGGGCCAAACTATATACACAAAAAGCATTCAAGGAGAGCTGTCATGCTAACAGAGCTGGAGAAATGGATGAAGGATGTGTCCTTCCACACTGGTACTAAACCAGTTATCAAGCTTTTCCTGGTCTAAAATTGCAGTTAAACTAGTCACATATGAATTCTTGTTTAACTGTTGCCCTTTCTGGTTAGCATTTCCAGAGCTAACTTTCAGAAAGCACTGCAGCCAGGAGACTTAAGTGTGGTTTGGAGAAAAAAAAAACAGAAAAAACTATATTCTCTATAAAAAAGTGCATAAATCCTCCGAGTGTGGGGTCTTTCGGTAAAAAAAAAAAATAATATCTCTAGTTACACTGATTAAATTGCTAATTTATTGAAAAAACATTGAGATTGATTTTGTACTAAATATTTTCTGGACAGCTGGTCACCATGTATTTTACCTGATTACTGAAAGCACATTTATCCCCTAAATATAGAGTAGCAAGTTTATTACAATATGCACAGTCTATATTTCCACTTCACACTAAAGCAGACATTTTATAGCTGCACAAACAAGGCATATAATCATAGTTGTCCTCACATAACAATGCACTCACATAACAATTATTGCTGGCTCTTCACAGAGTTGGTAGCCAAGACAAAAAAACCCACCCCAAAGCTGATTTAAAATTGTATCTAGCATTCTGTCCCTGATAAGGCTCTCTGTTTTGTTTTTCAATAGTATGGGCTACAGAAATGTCAAAAATTTTTCTAGACAACTTGTTACATCAAAAATGCTTCTGTGGCAACTTTCGGCCTATTCTTAGATAAAAGAATGCAATATAACCAACCAGATAGCAGCATACAATTAACATGATTCATCCCATTTAAACTGGGAAAAATATTTGAGGGTTTTTTTTTTTTTTTTTCCAGTAAAGGCTTGTTCTGGCTTTTACTCATGATCTCTTGTATGTCAGCTTTTGCAAGAAAACCCTTCTCTTGGTACAGGTACTTAGTTCTCTTCAACAATAACAATCTACACTCCAGTGTAATCAGCTTAGATGAAAATCAGCTACAACTCTTACAGATATATAGCTAAATATATATAAAATAGAAGGATATAAAATAAAGTGAACCTGCAAAAAGTGACCACCATATTTTGATGCCTGAGCATACCCATACATTTTTTAGCATTAAAATCAGACAGCCAGAGTTGCACACCTAAAATGCAAGCTCTTTCCTAATTAATTAATTAAAACTTCTCTCAGTTCTCCAGCCTATTCCATCCCCAGAACAGGTGAACCCTCTACATTTCTTACAAGATATAAACCACAAAATATGTGATGTATTTTTTGCAGTAAAAATACTAAGTATACTGCAGGCTAGGAAACTATTAAAATGACATAAAATTACCTTTGGTTTAAAAATATAGATATTCAAATTGTATTCTAAATAAGGGTGACCCAACACACCCTCTGTGTCATCTGAGATTTGACTATTTCAAGGTCATTTGCTATTGCCTGTACCAACACAATATTCTAGCTGTGATTCTCAGTTTTGCAAAAGCCTGAATCCACTTGAGATGTACCAATTTTCAAAAAGATAGTGACAGAAATGTAATTACCTACCTGTCCCTGAAAGAAGTAATTAGAGGTTTTAACACATGCCAGTGGATAGCCAAGTATATGAGTTAAAAAAAGTCAAGAATTCATTTTCCTGAAGAGATCAGGCTGGCTGAAAGCAAACAAGATTTTTGTCACCTTTGTAGCCCTGAGAACAGAGACAGTAATTTGTGGATCATGTTCATTAGCTGAAGTAACATCAGTAATTGCTGAGCTCCAACATAATTGCCCAGCCAAAGGCCAACCTGTACAAGTAAGATACTGCACAGAGGGGCTGAGGACTGTGACACAGCAAGAGACAGCCTGCAGAACATGACCTGGGGGAGACTACAGGATTCTTATTTTGCCTTTCCCAATCACAGGTGGTACATACATCCCCAAGGTGCAGAGTATTGGTGTTGCTCACATTTAAGAGAGAGACAGAGATTGTAAATATTATGTTGCAAACTGATGTGTTGAACTACATTTCTGGAAGTGTCACCTTTATGTATTCAGATAAATATATTTGTCCAAATACACTTATCTAGCATGCCAGTGCTTCAGTTTGAGCCACACCACAGAAAAAGAAATCACCAAATAATTCAGAGCTTAAAGGGTCCCACAAGGATCAGCAAGCCCAGCTCTTAGGTGAATGGCCCATAGAGGGGATTGAACCCACAACCTTGGCTTTTTTTGTTTTTTTAGCACTGGGCTCTAGCCAACTGAGCTAATCTCAGGTTCAAAAGTTCATTTGGTTAATGGTCATTTCCAGCTTTCAAACAGACTAATAGGTTTTACGGTTATCTTAAATTCAATGAGTTCTTTTGTACACAGGATTTCAATTAGTGAATAAAGACAAATATATTTAAAACTAAGTTGAAAATAAAGTCTCATTACTTGATACTTATGTAGCTGGAGGATTAAATGTCCCTGCAGTAAGATTCCAATATTTACTTAATAAACTTTAATAGACTAATGATGAGGAACAAAATTAACAGTATGCTAATTACTTCCATATTGGTGTAAGCAAGCATCATTTTAAAATCCTTAAAATCATGTCCTTACTTCACTGTTTGTTTTATTGTGCCTATCAACTCTGAAATACTATAGACCAGAGGAAAAAACAATTCACATCATGATTTCTCATTCAATAGCTGGACTTGCTCTTCAGTATAAAATGTAGGTCTTCATGCTGTATGGAAAATCAAACCCCTTAACATATTGCATATGATATAGTATTAAAAATAACTTTGTCTAGTGCATCCAAAACAATTTCAGTTCTTACCCTTCCAATTTGTGACACTAACTTGTAGGCTATATATCATGCAAATTGCTACAGAATACAAAAAGATATCAACACTTGTATCAACAAAGTTGATAGAGAAAGTATCAACATCCTCCATGTTTTGCTGTCTATTAAAACCAAACCAAACAGCCTGTAGCCTGCTTTGGACAACTAATAGGTTTTCACTGAAGGCCTGCAGAAGTTCCAATACCAGTAACTTTTCCTTAATTAAAGGTGTGGGTGCTATTTGCATATTAGTACATTCACCATTTTAATAGGTCTATTTTGCTAACACAAGAGCATGTTGCATAAAAGAAACAGCTTCCAAGGATGCTTCTATAACTTTCATTTCTATAATGAGAATATAAACCACACCTTTTAAGGGATTTCATCAATGGGCAGAGATGTGAAGAAAAAGGAATTAACACCACTGTGACTTCTGGAAAAAAATAGTATTGCCTTAGAACAGTGGAGTTAACAGCACCAAACAAACCATCTGTTTGTCATTATAAATAACACATTGCTGTTCTTAATTACAAGTACAGTCAGTTTCTTAGCTGACTGTACTCTTGTGTTGTAAGTCTAGGCTTGTAAATATTATCATCACCCTCTTCTTCCCACTTTCCTATCTGGTACTACCAAAAGGTTTCCACTAAAAACAAAAGAACGACAACAAAACCCCTAGTTTGGACACACATGTGTAAAGCAATGGCAATAAGTTCAGTACAGGCAAGGGCTGTCTAACATGTTTTAGTGGCCACTTATTTTGCGATATGTAGACTCAGGCAGAGTATCACCTAGATTTACTCTCCATACACTCCCCATTTACAAAAGCTACCCAGCTAGTGAAGAGCATGGACAGAACTTTGTGCGAACAGAGTAAAATAAATTACTTATCATGTACTAAGTATAGGAAGTAGAAAGACATTTCAAGCAGATTCAGTCTGGAAAGTACTGTAGTGAGACATTCCAAGATTATGCTCTCTGTTCTACCTCCATTCTGAAAATGATGGGCATTATCGAAAAAGTCAATTGTGGACTGATCAGTATTGAAGAATATTAATTTTCTGAAAAACATTAATTCTCTTTTTGTAGGTTCATATTCTTCTGGTGATTCTTTAAAGGAAGAAAATCCATGGCAACAATCATGACCATCTTTACATGATCGCATTCTCCATCCAATATCAGCACCAACATCAGCACAAAGTTAAAAAACATCTACAGTTTCAAGATGCAAAAATATCGACTATTACTCACAAAACAAGGGAAAAGTTTGGGGCACTAATATATTTGATTAGTTTCTAATATAATATAATGATTAATCATTATAATATAGTGATATAACAGTAACATATAAGATAGTATAATCATTAACTTCTACAGAATAATGCTGAGTGACTCCCTCTGCCCTGCATAGACAGGGGAGGGAGATAGAAGATTTGCTTCCTGTTTTAAGGTGAATACATCACTATCAGATATAAATTATTTTAAAGCTGTAAGCAATTGACATCCAGGCTACTAAATTTATGAAGAATGTTTCTATGAGAAAAAAAAGAGGAGCTTAATAACATTTGAATATGGAAGTACTTACTTCGAATTTGTCTCTTAATTTCCTTTGAAGAATCTAGCCAGTTCTGAAAAAAAAAAAAAACAAGCAAGCCACAGCCAGCATTTAAAATCATCAATACCAAAAATACTTCAATATAATCTGTGCAACATATTAATTAGCTTTTACATTTCAGTTACTACTGACATGTGCAAAGAGACTGTTTTGTGAGAGATCATCCAAAAATTAACTTTTGGAAGTGAGATTAAGGAATCTGTAACATATATTCATCAGTAACTCATACAATTCTGTTTACTAGTTTTACCCATACATGTTAAAAAAAAAAAAAAAAACAACACGTTAAAAGACTAGGAACATAAACCTGAGACTTTCCTTCATTGAGTTTGAATCTTTACTTCCCATGGCCACACACACACACACGCACATTCATGGAAGAAACACACATAAATCCAGCCTGACAGCAAGTCTTGCAATGTTTCAAAGACAGACGTGAAATGCAGGGAAGAGTTAGACACTGCCTTAGGAGGCCAAGGAAAATATCTTCTTTTTCACAGGCCACTGCAGGTACTTGCAGTTTTAAAGTCTGAGGGAATACCTCAGTGCAGCACAAATGTTGCCAAAGGCTTATTTCTACCAGTGTTTCTCACCTACCTTAGCAAAGCAGAGCATCCTGGGTATAATGTGGCCCACTTTTTTCAAGCTATGGTAGCAAACAAATTCCAGCTGCAGCACTGTTTCCCAATACCAAATCTGTCTATACTAGGGGCCTTTGCACCCAAAGTTCATCCTCTTTCAAGAAGACAAAAATGCTAGCCTAGTTTCACAGATCTGTGTGAATTAGGAGGATGTGGAACTACATTTCTGCAGCAGTGCAAACCTTTAAGATAGATTGCCTCTGCATGACAGAGAATGTGTCTCCCATGAGTATGGACCAACACACCAAGATCCCTGTTGCAAATGAGCTTGATCCAACTAGATTTCATCACCAGTGCAACATGTGTATATTAATGAATATTATTTACTAATTAAAAGCAAACCCCCTTTTTATAATTTATTACAACTGCAATGTTTTAAAAAAGACAATAATTTCACATTTCTTGCTTTATCTGTGATCTCTACTTTTCCATAGCTATCATAATTTTTCCAGAGAATGCAAAGTCCATAACATTTTTACAAAGGAAGAGTTAGAAAGCACTTCTCCAATATCCTGGATACCATTTATAATGCTTAAATCAGAAAAATTGCTTTCTGTTAGAAGAACCTTGACATGGAAAGACCTTGGAAGACAACATAAGTCTTCTAATAATTTTAACCGAGATTCTCTTCAGCTACAGCTATCATCCTAGGTTTGCAGTTTTGGCAAGGATTCCATTCTGAAATTACCCACTGCCATATTCTTGCAACTACAATAACCAGAAGTATCTTAAATCCTTATATTTTAAACACAGCATCAATAAGGAATATAGCATGGAATAACTACAACAGAAAAATAGGATTTCTGAGTACATAATACTTTCAGCGCTTCATCTTTCATCACTACAAAGCAGGAGAAAAGAACATACAATACAGAATATGCTGCAAGATAATAATCTCTTCTTTGCACAAGTTATGCAGTTCATTTTCTGATTTTTCCAAGCCTGAAATAAGCTTATTGGAAGCAGACTTAGCCACCAAGTTTCATTACTGCTCTGTCAAATAAAATCAGATGGTTATATTCCATTTATAAACACTATTACAGAGGTGGGGGTTTTTTGCATCTGTGCCTTTTGTCATGGATAAAAACAAACACCACAGAAGAATTTACCCTAAATTAGAGCTCTTAATGCAAAATATACAGGTCTGTCTTGCAAAACAAAAGACAAAATGTGTACACACTACTTTGCTCCAGTAGGCAGAAATCTATTTGTTTAATTTGTGAATGGTAAGGTTATAGATGAGACAAAGTAATGTACTGTCAAAGAACAAAATGTTCTCTACCAGTACAAAAGTATTTTGTACAAATCCAGAAAAGCAGTATTTCCAGCTGGTGCTCAAAACATAAGAGCAGAAGCTTTCTAACACTTCTGCAGACCAATTACAGTGTGAATGGAGCATTCATGAACTTCTGAGGGTGCAATGCAATGAAATCTGTAACTAAACTTCAGGCTAGTAAATTTAACATTTCAAAAAAATGAAAGAAATCATTAATTACTAATTTGGCCTAAACAGTTTTAAAATGTTTATTAAAGCTAACAAGAATCAGTCTGATTGGAAGACACAACCTCTCTCCCAGCTGCACAGAACACCCATGGAGAAGAGTTAATGGGACTCTTCCTCCAATGGTACCCCGATGGTGCATTGGGGAGCAGCTCTAATTCAACAGAGTCACTGGCATTCAGCTGCCACCCGCCACAGCTGCCGTGGCTCATAAATGGGTGGCTGTGATGAGTGCACAAGAATGGGAAAAACACATCATTCAGCATTTAGTACTGACTGGCCTGGAGATAAGGGATTTGTGGCATTTTAATCTAAAAAGGCAACTGAAAAAAAAAAAAAAAAAAGAACTGGTACCAAAATTAAAAAGTAACAGAGGTGATCAAAAAAGGGGGACCTAAACATAAATTTGCTAGGAAAGAGTTTTTTTTTAAGTTTCTCCAAATAACACTAGGAATGTATTTATATGAAAAAGACAAAATTCAGCAAATCTGGTTGTTTAGTCTTCATAACAAAAAGAACCAGATTTCCCCAGAAGTTTTTAAATAAAAGCCTGCTCCTGTCCATAACTCAGGTGAGAAGTGATCTATTCTACTTTTGAATAAGGACCCCATTATCAGATATTTCTCAATTTATGTAAATACCTCTAAATTTTTGTAAATACTTATGAGTATTGCTAGCTACAGTACCACTCTCACAGTCAATTGATAAGGAATTCAAGGACTCATTCACACTGAAAGAGACCTCTGGACATAACTGGTCCAAGTGTGATTCATGAGCCAGTTTTGAATTAAGTTAGGTTGCCCAGGTTCAGATCCAGTCGAGACATATGAAAAAACAGATGGGGTCTTTTTAAAGAGTGGACCTCAGTTTCTCTATTCTAATGACTGAAGAACACCAAGAAAGTCTTAGTCTAACTAGAAAAAAGGAAAAAAAAATAGGACAAAAAAAAAAATACATAACCCTACACCAATCCAGACTTTCTTGTTTAACTTTCAAAAACCCAAAGTTCCCTATTTTATCTCCTGGGATCTACTCAATGGACTATTTTCTGGTACAGGTCAAGGATCCTAGGTCTAGTATTAGACATTTTCTCTCTTGCCAGAGATCAGACTGCTGTTTTATGTTGTTTGGTTGCATATATACAGTATAGTTTTTCAATACTGAGAAGCACAAATAAAGCAACAAGTGAAAATAGCATATAAGATTGATATTACTTAGATCAAGAGATCTTCACCACTAGACCAAAGAAGTTCTTATGTCTGCAAATGGTTTACAAATCAAGAACAAAAATTAAATATCTAAGTAATACTATAACAAGCTCATTTTGTATATAGGGATTTTTAATATAGAGGAGTTGAGTATTTTGCTCAATACTGCACAGAAAGTTTTGCACCAAAGCAACTAACTCTAGAAAACAGCTTTATCAGAATGGAAGTTTTCAGAAATTCAGATTTATTCGGACCATGAAATTACACTTAATTTTAAAAAAAAAAGTGATAAGAAGATGACAGAAAAAAACCAATAACTTTTAGATGCAGTATGATATAAAGATGCTTCTACTACAAATACAGATTAAAAAGATATACAATTTTTCCAGCTTCAACTTGTAATTATTTATCTGGGCTATTTTTTCTGAAGAAAAAGATGACCACACAATCTTTAGTTGGTGGAGGAAGAAACAGGCAGCCCATACCAAAACTGTAAAAGTTAAGATGTTAGAAAAATAAATTGGGTTTTGCTAATTAATGGAGCACTTGCCAGTGACTGATTTAAAATTTTTCTTAGCTGAGCAATCTAGGTGTGCTCAACCATCCAACATAAAAGCAAGTGCAAATGAAGATCTAAGTTACCACATGGTATTTAAGAAATCCTTTCAAATGCAGTCATCTCAAATGCCATTCATTTGTAAAATTAGCATCCAATACCATTGATGGACTAGCTTCAGCCTCTTTACAAAAGCCAAAAATTTCCTTTAAATTTAGAATTAATAATAAAGGAACTCAAAGGCCTTACAGACTTAGGTCATTACAGACTTATGGGCTAGATTCTTTTCATGTTCACAAACAAAGCATTCTTACACATCTATGAAAAAAGGCAGCAAAATTTACTCAAGTGTTTGAAACAGTAAACATTTAATAGAATATACATCACTGAACTATTGAAGTGAGTGGCAGTGATGAAAAACAAACAAAACCCTCATACAGGCTTACCTTCTGTTCTGAATTCTCATAAAACAACAGCCCAAAATAGTCCTTTTCCAGTAAATTGAGGTGTTCACATACTTTATCAAACAGCACTTGTCCTCTGGCTCTTTTCTGAGGGGTAGGAGGGTAGGAAAAGAAGAAAAGAAAAAAAAAAAGGAAAAATAAGAAAAAGGATAAAATCAAGATAAGTAAATCGGTAAGGTTCTTAACTATAGGTACCGTTATTCAATGATATTATTCAGGAAAATTTAAAATATATATTTAATAGATTATAAAACTATAAGCTTTGTTACAAAGACTGTTCACCATACTTCAAAGCTATACATATCCCTTGACAAAAAATAGAGAAATTTCAATGTTTTTTTTTTTAAACCCAAAACAACAAAGTAAATATGCAAGGAAAATTCAGTACCTGAAAAATTTAAAATTTTTTAACTGTTAAGTGTCACTAAATAGTCTTGCCTTTTCTAGATCTTTATGCTTAAAATAACAGAAGACTTCTTTATTTGAGCCAATTTTTTCTCTATTATCTTCTAAAAATTAATACTTTAATACACTTTAGCATTTAACCTTAGCATTTTTATCATTTTGGAATACATCTCAGTGACTTATGAATCCCATTATATGAATGCACTGAAAAATAAAATGTTATCTGCAAAAGACAAAAAGAACAAGCAAAATACTAAGAGCTGATGCTCAGACCAGCAGAAGCAGCATGCAAGCAGAAGCTGAACACATGCAATGTCTAGTTGTCTATACTTTAGTTGTTTGTTTTGAGGGGCAGAAAATAAGATGGCTGCTTTCTATCTATTTCTGAAATCTCAGTACCCAAGAAATCCCTTAGATGCTCAAAAATAAGAAATCCTCAAGAAGTTTATTTTTCCTAAAAGTATGATTTGTGGAAATCAGTAACAAAGGAAAAAAGGTTTTATTTGAGGCTAGTTTACGTATCATAGTCTGCTGCTTTATAAATATAGTAACTGAACACTGATCATCATTTTACCATATTCTTAAAAAGCATTTTAAAATGGCCACTTTCAAGATCACTTGGTAATCTCAGTATTACAAGAGCTGAAGCAAATGGCAATCAGTACTGAAGTTTTATCCGTTCTTCTTGTGAGCTTTCCAGCAGCCTTCCAGTACCTAGAGGAGGCTTAAGAGAGAAGGGTAGGAAAGGGCATATAGTGACAGAATAAGGGGCAATGGCTTTAAAGAGAGTAGGTGCAGATTAGAGATTAGGAAGAAATCCTTTACTGTGAGGGTGGTGAGGCACTGGAACAGGTTGCTCAGTGAAGCTGTGGATGTCCCATCCCTGGAAATGTTCAAGGCCAGGTTGGATGGGGCTCTGAGCAACCTGATCAGGTGGAAGGTTTCCTGGACTAAGCAGGGGCTTTAAAAAATCAGAAGGTCTTTAGGGTACCTTCCAACCCAAACCATTCTATCACTCTGTGATTCTTGTACCTGAAACTGGGAATGTAAACATTCCATATGTCTGTAGTGCCAGTAGAGAAAACAGGTCCAGGCTGTACTTCTTTGCACCAGGTTTTAAGGAAAAACTTTGCCTCCTGCTGACAGGAGACAAAGACTTAGAGCAGACTGCTCACACCACATGCTTAGGGGTGGGATGATGAGAAGTTCTTTCCACAGTTCAAATCCGACTATGACTGGCATGCAGTCTCCAGTTTGAACCAACTGCTTCATGACAGCTCTGCTATTTGTGGCATTTATCATAGAGGCCACAACATGGCCTTTTCAAAGGTCTGCCAGCTTATAGGAATTTTTTGCATTTGCTTATCCTACAGATTTCAGTAGATGCCACACACCACTGCCATTCCACAGAAATGCCATCGGCAGCCCCTGTGTAGGCCTGGGTGACACTGTGGCCATTGTCCCCGCAGACGCTCCACGGGCCCCATTCCGGCACTCCCGCAGCTCGGCTCCACAGCACAGGGCGGTAAAGGCCAAGAGCGGAGGGAGACGGGAGAAAAGAAGTTATGCACTGAGCACAGAGTAAAGGCATTGTTGATTTATTCCCCAAGAATCCAGAACTTTATTCACAATTGCATTGTCCAGCAGACATTCTACTCAGGATAATCAGAAAGCTTTCACAGAAGCAAAATTATAAAACGACCACTTTTCTTAGCCCAAGTAGCAAGGCTAAATCAAGAAAGTAGAAGTCCAAGTGACTTCTGAAATGAGGAATAGGGAATTTAAGCCAGTTTGGTATTTTCAAAAAAATCTTACTCCTCAAGAAGGATTACTACTTCCTCTAGGCATCTGAAGTAACCACTTAATTTTCTTGACAGCTTTACCTTCCGCTTAGTATGAAAAATCACCAATATAGAAAAGTGGTAAATTGAAAGCAGAAAAAGTATAAGCAAGAAAGAGTTCAAAGAATGTTAGATATGTTAGAATGTAATAGATACCACTTTTTTTCCAAAGTCAATGTACAGGTCAGTGATCACATCTTGCAAATGCAAGCTGCATTTATACAAATTTCAGTAAAGGAAACATATAGATTAGAGCAAAATAATAGATGCTATCATATCAAGCCCCCATCTGGAATCAGATGCTTTTTTATAAAGTGTATACACTAAAGCCCACAGTTAATATCAAGTCTTTGACATACAGAAACATAAAGCAGGCACATTTACAGGAAATACATGGCAAGTATAACTGTAAAATATTGCACAGTTTCTTATTAGGAAGTCATAACAAAAAGAACTTGGATATACTAAGCAATGTCCACTGTATCTTTAAACATCTTTTTGTCAGTTCACGGTTCTTCCATATAATGAAAAGCACCACCATGTCACAAAGCCCAAGTCTGTGAGCCTACATTCTACACAGCAGCAAAATTAAAAGACATTATATAATCAGCAACTAGTATTTATAGAGCTCTGTTATGGATTCAAAAGGATAAGAAACCTCTCAGTACCAGCAATGGTTTTCATTATAAGATCCTACTTGTAGAATTGAAAGACTCTGAGTTATTTCATATATATATATATGTGTGTGTGTGTGTCCATAGAGTGATAGAGTTTTAAAATTCTAAAAGAGTATTTAATTTGCAAAACCAAACTTTTCAAGTGCAATTTCTTTGTAAACCATTTGGGGACGGGCATTAGTACACAGTTTAAATTATATGATTACATAACTTTTCTGGAAAAATTCATGCTCCTAGTAGAATGTCTCAAAACATGAACTGAAGATAACTTTTGTGATCCAGTCAGTTCAGAAGCTAGAAATAGTTTAATGGAGCAGGACACTCTTAAGAAGGCCTCATCATGGTTTGCACAGTTTGTTACTTTTTAAAATGGATTCCATTTCATTTTCCACCAGGTGTTTGAGATGTCAACTGATAACCACAACCAATGTGTAAATTATAATCACTATTCTTATTATATCTATGCATAGGTACACACTTATGCATCTATATATACACACATACATGTTCATAGCACAAAAAATATTCGTGTTCCAAATTAGAATGCAGAAATATCAGTAAAAGTGTAAGTCCATCCTTGCTTTCACAAGAAGGGGAGCACATTCAAGCTAGATATACCAAGAGACTGAGAAGTGAGGAGATGCTTACAGAGCCAGCAGTTAAAACACATGAGTACTTGAATCAGCAGTATTCTGTATTACTGCCAAGTTATGCTTTCTTTTAAGTGAGAACATAAAAAGAACACATGTAACCAAGGTTATTCTAGTACCAATTTCAAGCCTGTACTTAGACACTGCAGATGCCACCTCATAATGCAATCACCTCATAAAACCAGAGGTAGCATTTTTCTGTCCTTTATATCCTTAGAAAAAGAGAAAACAAGAGCAAAACAATTGTAGCTGACATACACAATGGAAATTTCTATGCAACTGGGAATAAGGATATCATGGATCTGTTTGCCTATATAAGAGTTGCCAACTACTCACGCAATATAAACATTCACAGCTACCAGTTCTGTTCAATACATTTATCTATTATAGGGATGCAGGAGTTGAATGCACTATTAGCAAGTTTGCTGGTGATACTGAAGTGGGAGGTGCTACTCACTCCCTTAAGGGATGAGAAACCCTACAGAGCAATGTGGATAGATCAGAGCATTAGGCAGTCAGTGGCATGAAATTTAGCAAATGCCAGAGTCTGTACCTGGGACAGAGTAATGTTAGGCACAAGTATAAACTGGGACAGGAGCGGCTGGAGACCAGCCCTGCAGAAATGGATCTGGGAGTGCTGGTCAGCAGCAGCTCAGTGCGAGCCAGCACGGAGAGCCCAAGCAGCCAGGAGGGCAAATCCCATCCTGGGATGCATCAAACCCATTCAACATTCACACAAAAGAGGTGATTATCCTGCAGCACTCAGCTTTGGTATGGTTGCACCTCGAGTTCTGTGAGCAGTTCTGGGGCCCACAAATTAAGAAGGATGTGAAGGTCCCTGAATATGTCCAGAAGGCACCAACAAAGCTGCAGAAAGGCCTGGAAGGAATGTCCTATGAGGACTGTCGTAGGACTTTGGGCTTGTCTTGAGAAAAGGAGGCTGAGGAGTGGCCTCACTGCTCCCTGCAGCTTCCTGAGGAAGGTTAAGAAGAAGGTGCTGAGCTCTTCTCCCTGGGATCAGTGATTATACATGTGGGAACAGGTCAAAGCTGCATCACAGAAGGTTTAGATGTGACATTAGGAAGCATTTCTTTACCACAAGGGTGATCAATCAGTGTAATAGCTTCCTAGGAGGTGGCCGATGCTCCAAGCATGTAAGTGTTTAAAAGTCATTTGGACCTTTAGGTCAGCCCTTGTGGCATGAGTGCTTCCTTACCCTTAAAGGGTTGGTCATGAGGCAGCTGAACCAAATGACCACTGGAGGACTTTTCCACCTGAAACAATCTATCCTATTCTTATTCCTTCATTCTCATTTCTGTAGCAGTACAGGCAGAGGGAAATCTCAATATTTCTTCCCAGCCCTGCACTAGCAAAAAGGATTGAATGGGCAATCATGCCCCAGCCTAGGCAGTGAATGTCTCTGTGTGGGAAGGAGGCATGTTCCATCTGATGGGTGCGAGAGCTGTGGATTATCTCAAACTAATTCAACTATTTAAAGAAATGGGGGGGGGGGG